AAGAGGGACCTTGTACCCCAGGGCCGGGGTTGCCGCCAGCGGGATGTTGCAACACTGTCAACTCACCACCGCCGCGACGAAGCTGCACCGAGTGACATTCCGCGTTGGTGGTCACCGACGACCTAGCATACTGGCCGTGTCGGCAGTTGCATTCGCTATGGCAACCGTCCGTAGTCAATGACGACGCCACCGCTGGTTCAGACAGCGCACGCTTGTGGGACGCCGTCAGCCCGGACGAATCGTCTGGATTGCTTGCTGACGGGCGTCGTCGTTTGCGCCAAAAGGCTATGCAGCGAGTTGGATGTACACACGTCGCCATTAGAATCAAGCCGATGGACAGGCCGACGATAACACACATTGCCATAACCCACGCCTCGGTGCGTCGACGCTTCACAACATCGTACTCTGCGCTCGTGGCAGGCGCATCTGTACCGTTGCCATCCACAGGAGACTCCACCATGAGAGAATCTCCATGGCGTCCGTCGGCCAGATCCAGGAGCACTGGCGCTGCGTCCCCCTGGCCTGCGACACTGTCCATGATGTCTAGTGCTGGGTTGTCCTCTCCCGTTTGTCCCATGTCCTTGCTGCTAGGTACCCCTGTGATGGTGCTGGTGGTGGTGGTGGTGGTGGTAGTGGACGGGTTGTTACGAGCAAACGATTGCACGCTGGCTATATCGTCCTGTTGTAGAAAGAATGTGAAGCGCATTGGCACTGGGGTCACGTCGCTGACGGGGAATTCCCACATGTACGAGAAACGAATCACCGGACGCGCGCTGGAGTCTTGCGCTCCGTTCCAGCTGCCCTCGAAGAGGTATAAGACATACGCGCCATGGCGGGCAGTTCGGCTGACCAGGCGACCGCCACGAACGCGGCTGATTTCCGCCACATCTCCGTCGTACTCGAGAAGAACTCGCCATGGAGTTCCGTCAGCAAGGCTCGCAGCAGGCACACCGTGCACCACGTGCCTCCAAGTCACCTTGTAGCGAAATCGTGTGTCGGGTGTGACGACTCGAAACTGCCACCAGCACTGGACTAGTTCCGTAACTGGCAACGCTCCTTGGGCTTGGCCTGCCGCCGTCGACTGGTCACCGTCGAGGTCGCCTACGTGGTTGCCGACGCTAGCGACGAGCGACGTGGTGTTCGCTGCTTGCAGGCGATCCGGTCTCCGCAGAAAGCCACCGCACTGCGCTGCGACATGATCCGAGACAAGAAAAGCAACCTGCAGGGTTTGCAGTGCAAGCTGGAGTGAAATTCTCATTTCCGAAATGAAGTCTGAAGAACTCTCAGCTCGATCACGCGTTCAGCTCGACTGATTTATTGTTGTTGTCACAACACAGTATTTTATTTCCTCCAGAAATCAGCGACATGATCTGGCCATGCAATGACATGATTGTTCACTTCACTTCAACCAAGCCCAAACTGCCAAAGCCAAGGGCCAAACGTCGTTGCCGCAAAGGCTGGATCATGAGTGGATTGTTTTCGCCGGACGACTAGATCTAGCCGCACTGATCGCCGGGAATGCGGTTCCTCCACCGCATGAGTACCGTGAGTACGACCATGCACCCTGGGTACCATGCATGGGTTTGTGAGCCCACGCTTTTGTCATGCATGTAGACCATGGTAGACTAGAGCCTAGTAGTAGTACACATGTATGTAGCAAGTAGCAGATCTGTATGACTCGATGACATGTCGACAGTGTAGCCAACGAATCTCTTTCTGCGCTGAACAAATCAATGAAACGACGTGATGAAGTGAAGTCTCTTATCTGCATTCCAGAGTGATCTATGCCTGTCACCCTGGTCACTGCCACATGCACACTGCATCTGTAGCTGATCTCTGCACAGCTTCTCACTCAGTCGTCGTTCTAGTGCAGTCTGCACTGTCTGGCACAGTCAGCATGGTTGAGTGCTGAGTTTGCTAGTATTAAAATAATAATACTCTCTGAATGAAGGCTCCGATGCACGTGCACAGAGCGATGACCATGATGACTGGTTTTCACTCACCGCGTGCATGGCTCCAGAGTCCAGATCTTTACAAGAGTAGAGAGCCACATCATGCAGCGACGGCAAAAACCGTCCTTGGTCTTTGTGTAGGCCCCAGGCTACAGCTGTAGGGTCTATCTGGGGAGGTTGAGCCTTGAGCAAGTTCAGGGAGGTTGTGCTTTGGAGTTACTTGTTGGTTTTGGAAAAAAAGAAAGTGAGGAAGGTAGGGAGGCTTTACTTTAGTTTACGGAGCTGCAAACTGAAAGAATCGAGGTAAACAAAGACTGTCCAAAGACTTGACTCTCCAACTCCCAGTGGCAAGGGTCAAGGCCAAGCAACATCGATCATGATGCCTATATGTATGCCTAGCCGGGAAAGTGTTAACTAATTACTTCAAAAAATTCGCTCACGCAGTTTCAGCGTGTTGTCCTGCACTTTTACTAGCTAGCTAGTTACAGCATCGCGCATGCTGCAGCTACCAACACAGTAGTATGTCTGTGTTGTTGCTAGCCGTTCGTTGGGAATGGTATCTCCGCTGCAGCAAATAATTACATGTACACTGTTCAAAGAGCTAGAGACTTTTAAAAGAGTCGAGAGCTGCTGGGAACCTTTATCAGCTCATCATCAACTAGGCGTCGCCTAGGTTGACATCTACAGCCGCGTGGACCAGTGGATGGCAACAACGGAATGTTGCTGCTACGCTGTACTACTCTAGTAAATAGTCTGTAGATACCCAGTACATGTAGTTTCTGCTGCGTTGAACACATGCACATACAATGTAGCCTTACTGCCAGAGTTATTCTAAAAGGAGCCGTAACACGTCGTGTAAGTAACTCTAAAAGTCTAGGTAGCCGGTTGTAAGGCAGAGCCAGACTGTGTAACTAATTACTAGTAGTGACTAGTACTCAGTTTACGCCTTTCTTTACAGCGCGGTACGCCTCCCCTCCGCTCCCTCCCAATGGCGCTTCAAATCAGGCATCATGCAGGCATGGATGTAGGTAAACGACGTGAGGAGCATGAGCCGAACTACATGTACATGTACGTGTGATAAGCAAACCCACGGAGTTTACAGAGTTTACTACGAAGTCAGTAGGGACTATGGAGTCGTGAAAGCCCACTCACTGCTCCCAATCATGCCAATGGCAATGGTCCCTTGCCATGGCCCGGGCTACAACGAAAAAAAGAACGCATACCCGGTACAAAGGCTCCTGTCATGCATGCTATGCATGTTAACATGTTACTGGCTACGGATGACCGCAATGGTTGATCAGCAGACCCACTCAGCAGCACCAGCTACATAATTGTACAAGCGACCATAGCATACAGCATGTAGGCATATTACTAGTCTAGGCACAATAATAATAATAATTATTATTATTATTATGCCTGATTCACTCACCGTGCTACAAAGTACAAGCGGCTCGGATTCCTTGCCCAACCACTTGCCAAAGCCTAAACTGGAGACTAGTAGTATAGTATTGTGCAAAGCAGAAAAGTCAACTGAGGCAAAACGCATTCCCTTCGATCTTGCACCGACTGGCCGTCATTGCATTTCGACATCTCGAAATGTCCACTAGCACTTTCTTTGCCTTCTCTTCGATCATACTGCATGTCCACTTCACCTTACTTTCTTGTTCTATTCGATCAGGTTATACATGTACAACCATGATTGTGACTGTCAGTGCACACACGTGTACTAGTAAATGATTCCCAAAAAATAGTCACACCAGTTGCTAGAGAAGCATAGCATAGTCCACACCAGGTGGATAAAGGCAGAAGAAGCCAACCAGTAGTAGTGTAGGTTTGATGAGAATGTACGAGCGAATAAAGCCATTGAGCACCTAACGGTATCAGGTGTTACCTGTCCCAGTACATCCCCTGTGTCTTGTTTTGTGTTTGTCTCCACATGTCTCTTTACAGGGCTGTGTTCCCAGCAAAAAAAACCTTGGGTAAAGTTTCTGTACCATTGAAACTTGACTTTGTAATCAAATGAATCTAAATTTCAGGATTGCCCTCAGGATAACGCCTATTGGCTATCATAATACAGTACAGCCGGAAACTGAAGTGACCGTGGAGAGTTCAGTAATATTATTTATAAACATCATGCGGATGCCCATGGTAACCAGAACTTGGCAGTGAAGTTAGTTTCAGGCTTTCTCCAGAGAAATTTGTAAAAGATAGGAGCGATTCGACGGCCAATGTCCAGGCACTTGAAAGGGCGGAATGGACTTATTCAAATCCCGCTACGCCTCTTTTCCCAAGTGCAGCCACTCGAACCCTCATCATTTACATGATTGTAAATGTACGAGGAAGAACGAAGCATTGCACAGGCATGATCACAGCATAGCAAAAGCTAGGCGGAGGACACACAGTCTGTACGGAAACCAGCCAGAAACCGTGTCCGTCCTCCGCCTTGCAGCTTGTGCTATATTCACGTACATGTTCATACAAACCTGTAACTAAAGACCACCGTGACTAGCGACCAGCCTGGTACTGTAGTACAGACCACTTTGCCAGGCACGGACGGTCTCACGTTCATCATGCATGGTTGTGCGGTGCAAACCTCTAACTAAGGACCACCTGCCACTAAAGACCGCTTTCTCTGGGCCCAACCAGGGACTCATAGACCTACATGTATACGACTCCCTGGCCCAACTATAACTGTTAGTTACTTGGGGTGTCCCAGTGCACAGTCTTGTACCACATGCACATTCACTTGGCTAGTAATGATTTCGACTTCTCAAAAGACTACAAGTCATGTACATGTATGAGAATGATGGCAGAAGTGTTAGATTGACAGCATGAAACAAGGTACATACATGTACATGTACACCAGCAGCAGCTGCTAAGTCACAGACACATCTACACATTCTACAGTGCACCTGAATATCACCGAACATGTACAGCACAGCACTGGGGTTGAAGCAAAGCAGGCAAACTGTTACTAGTACTTCGAAGTAGTACTACTTGCAAGCAAGAGCTGCTCTCAAATCACTTGGCAATGCATTAGAAACAAGACGATCTACAGTGTACTAGTATTTACAAGCAGCAGAAAGGAACAGGCACTATAATGTTGACGTGCACCATGCATGCAGAACGGGAGGCAGAAGCGCTCAGCTCAGCAGATAAGAGGAGAGTGCGGCATCAACAGGTAACCATGGTACCGGCGGTACAGACCTAGGGGAAAAGCCGTCGGATAAGGACTTGCACATGGTAAGATAAGGACTTACACATGGCAAGATAAGGACTTACACATGGCAAGATGAAGTGTTCAGACGAGATGGAAATCTCTCATACGGAAAAATACATGCGGAGCTGCAAAAGACGCCAGCGAAAATAAACCAGCGATTTGAGATTTAAATAGGTGACAAAACACAACTTGGTAGGCAACAGAATGGTCAGTTTAATATACAAAGAGATAGAATCCTAGGGGTGGGGAGGAGGGCCTAGGGGCGGAAAATCCTGGTACTGTTTACATGTACTCCTCTGGCAAGGGCATGTACACTGCATACGAAGAGAAGCAGTAGTGCACTGCATACGAAGAGAAGCAGTAGCACTGCATACGCAGAGAAGCAGTAGCACTGCATACGAAGAGAAGCAGTAGCACTGCATACGCAGAGAAGCAGTAGCACTGCATATGCAGAGACAGCGAGCTCACGATAACAGGCACACACCCGTATCCAGAGATAGGGATTTGAACAAAGAGCTAAACATGCAGACGAATGGGGGAGGAGGGGGTAGTGTCCAATGTACAGGGTGAACATTTACTGAGAAACGTTACCTAGAGCCATGGAAACATGGCTATTTACAGCAACAAGATAGGAAAAAACTGAAAAGACTAAGGAAAAAAATGGATATGTACATACTTTCTCGCACACACTCGCCCGCGCGTCTACACATGTACCCACACACTCACTCTCTCGCATACACGCTCGTACCTTACACACACACACACACACACACACACACACATACATGTACGCCTATGTGCACACACGCACACACACGCACACACACACACATGTACACACTCTAATCGCTGGTGCCCAGCTTCTGATCCGCCTTCATCAGATCGAAGAGCTTGGTGCGGTCGGCGATGAATGCGGCGGCGTCGGCGTCGAATGACGTGCGTCCCTCCATGATCCTGTACGCCGTGCCGGTAGCTGTGCCGGGTCTCAACAGAGGCACACTGACTTTGCTGTACTGGGTCTTGAACAGGTCGGGCGAGGCGATGATGGGAATGTCGCTGACGGCGACGAACGACTCACCGATGATGTCATTGCGCGTGAACCGGTCCCAGTCGTAGCAGGTCAGCATCAGCACCGTGCCGGCGAGCGACTGGTCCTTCTTGGTCAAGCTGTGCACGTGGACGAGTGCATATGCACACACACACATGCACACAGACACACACACGCAAGCACGCATGCACACACGCAAGCACACATGCACACGCACATGAAGCCAAATGTCCAGTTAAGATTCGGCCTCAGTAAAACAGCACGCTTTCGCTACAGGTTACACGAACAAATCATGATTTTTAGATGGATGACATGGAGTGGTAACACCATGGCAATACAAACACTGGCTTGCCACTCAACTCTAAACACTAACACTCATTTCCCTGCGTACAAACGTGCCACTCAAATCAAAATACCGTTACAAACAAGCACTGGTTTGCCACACTATACAAACTGGTCCTGATTTGCCAATGTATTTCTATACACACTTGAGAGGAATCAAAAGCGTTTCTGCTGTAACTCTGAGTTTCACGGTTTTAACCGATCATCAGACAGCAACTCCGAGTGTGTATTTCTATAGATGTAGACGGCTGATGATCGGTTGGTCAAGCAACGAAAATTCGTGGAACCCAGGTCTATTGCTGACATAGCCGATGCTGAGTCTACAACGACAGACTAACTAAACAACCACACAACCAACAGATTTCCTCTACAATGGGAAGTTCATCTTCCCATGATTGTAGCTACCGTGAAACAAAGACGTCAGAATGAAAAGCGTTCAGTCAAGAAAGGCAGTACTACATTCACTCCCTCGTTTATCCGGGCAGTCCGGGACCGTGACCGGGCAGTCCGTGACCGTGACCGGGCAGTCCGGGACCGTGACCGGGCACTGCTCATAACTTTGAAACGTCCGTTACCCTGGGTCACTTTGACGGGTAGAGCGGATTGTGTCACGTTCTCACAAAAAGTGACAAAAGAGTAGTAATATTTCCACTGAAACTTGGCCAAAGGGTACCTGGTAACCTGAAGTGCCTGTGACTTCGGTGTCCGGAAAACCCATGACTGTATGAGTGTAGAGTTTGGTGCACTGAAGTGATGGCTAGACAAAAGGAGGCCGGCAGACTCACGGGAAGAAGAACTTCTCGTCGTAGAGTGGCGTTGTCGTCTTGTCCTTAACGGTGGTTTTCTTCTGGACGGGCTTGCTGGATGGCTGGACGGGACGTACCTCCAGGGTGAAGAAGGGATCTGACGAACCTGCTGATTCCACAGCGCAAACAACACACCACAGGGGAAACAGAAGAGAGAGAGAGAGAGAGAGAGAGAGAGAGAGAGAGAGAGAGAGAGAGAGAGGGGAGAGAAGGCGGAGGAAGAGGCGGCGGCAATGGCAAACGGCGACGAGGGAAGTGAGCAATGGCAATAACAGGGGAGAAGCAATGGCAGTGACATGGAGATGCCAGAGTAGGTGGCAGAGAAGTACAAGTGTTCGGAAAGGTTGAAAGAGCTCGGAAACGTTGAAAGGGTTTGCAGTGCAGAGTGTTCTGAAAACCTAACACAATCTTCATGAAACGTGACTTGAGTAAAACACAACGTATATAACAGAGCAATGGAATCTCTCCCTCTCCCTCCCTCCCTCCCTCCCTCCCTCTCTCTCTCTCGCTCTCTCTCTCTCTCTCTCTCTCTCTCTCTCTCTCTCTCTCTCTCTCTCTCTCTCTCTCTCTCTCTTGCGCGAGACCAGTTCTCTTACCATTCAAGTCCATAATGGGCAGATCCATGGCATGAAGCACTGTGGAGAAAGTAGCCATACATGCAAGCACGCACACACACACACACACACACACACACACGCACGCACACGTGCGCAATCACAAACAATGCATCACAGAATTTCTCGGACGAGCCTGGTTGAGCAAATCTTTTCACATACATAAGAAAGTGTTCATGTCACGTCATATGCTTTGTTGTTCATTACACTTCATTGCGATTGGTCCAGCTAGTCATTCTAAGCTTTACTGACAAGGTCAGCAAGTTGTCCGGAAATCGAGTACATCACATCTACATGCACATAACTATTAATACCAGAGACGAATGGACTGTTGAGTTGTAACTTGGAGTTTCACGCATTTCAGTGATCATCAGAAAGCGGCATTTTACCGTAAACATCTGCAGCTGTTGATTGCCCAGATTTGTCCAGAACAGCCTTTCGCTACTGCTGTTTGTGTAGACTGCGGTGCACATCTCTTCACCATCATCACCACCACGGTCTTTCATTGCAATTGGAAAAAAAGTAATTTCCGAATTTCGCCCTTGGGCCATCATCACGTGCACTTTGCACATTTGCGTATTGAGCAAAGTATTCCAGCTGCCTGTTGCACGTTCGGAATGACAACTTGGATCGCTTGTCATTTTCGTATTTGGTGGACTATTGCTATGCATTTCACGAGTGTGATATACCAGGCGTGGGCCATCCCCTGATTTCATAGGTGCCAAACATTTTACGTTTTTCATTCACTATCATGCATTTTGTCTACATTTTTTGATTCTTTTCTTCAGTTTTCATTGTAAAATAAATCGTTTGATTTTCTTGTAAAAAAAAACTTTTTATGTTGTACATGCAACATGCATATAGGTACCAGTGTACTCACACACTTTACTTGCATGCCAATAGCAGCATTAGCCCTACACACCCGAGTACATTCTCAGAACACTTATAGTTATCGGTCTGGTCTCCAGGCTAACTATTTATTTCTGATCTCTCTCTCTCCACTTAGATATACCAGCGCTGCCTCCTATTCCACTATCGTCGTCTGATGATTGGTTCAGCCATGAAACTCTGAGTCACAACGGAATCTGCCCAAGGTTTTCATTGCGTGCCTTTCGTGTACGCCGCTCTGCCTGAATCAGGTATTGAGCACTTTTGCAGAACCTAAGCCTTACTGCCTCTATTTCTGATTAGAATACACGCACTGTAAACTGCAGGTGAATGCGAGTACTGCTTCGTAAAATACTGCTGCGCGATGAAATCCAGGCGGAGTCGAAAAATGCTGAAATGCTGGCATCCATGTGGAGTTACTATACAGCGCCAACACGCTTGACTACGTTAAGCTGTACTGCACGGATGTTATGGACTGGGCGGGTGACGGAGACGCACCGATTCACAGCACTGCAGTGAGTATTGCAGGACACGGTGACACATTACTGCAGAAGTTGGCAGTGACGGCAGCAGCAGCAGCAGCAGAACAGCATCGGGCGGCAGTGGATGGAAGTGCACACGAGAGCCCTCACTCCACTATATACCCATGTAGTGTACTGTGCTCTGCAGTGTGCATGTGAGCTAGCATGTAATTGTTTCCTTATCGTTGATCCTGTTCTTGCCTCAAAACCTGTCCATACGTTGCACAGTTGGAATGGTATATACTGGTCGCTCTCTCCTCGTTAAAGGGGAAGTTAAGGCAAAAATTAAAATTTCACCAGTTGTAGTCTTCGGGGTGCTGAGTCGAATGGTCTTGGTCCGAGGAAGCTGAGACGCTCCCTTCCTACTTGAATCCCAATCGAACTCGCGCACTTCCACCGAAACTGGGTGACTGCGCCCTACTAGATGGGGATTTGTATGCAAAATGTCACTAAAAGCGCCATTTCGTTCTTATAAAAGCACGGATGACCGCGATTGGTCCATATGTTGTAGTCTTGTGGACGCTGAGTCGACTGGTTTTGGTCCGAGAAGGCTGCGATGCAGCGTTCCTCCTTTATTCCCAATCGAACATGGTTGAAGAAGCGGTCACGTGGTCCTGGGTGCCCAAATCACCTGGTCACCACGCCAGCAGGTGACAACTTTCACACCAAGGTTCAACTCGAGTTCAACTCGAGTGACAGGACTGCACCCAAAAAAGGTCAAACAGGCTAGTAAGTTGTACCCTGCAGGCACGGTGACCAGGTGACTGGTGTACGCAGGAGCACGTGACCGCTTCTTCAACCATGTTCGATTGGGAATAAAGGAGGAACGCCGCATCGCAGCCTTTTCGGACCAAAACCAGTCGACTCAGCGTCCAAAAGACTACAACATATGGGCCAATCGCGGTCATCCGTGCTTTTATAAGAACGAAATGGCGCTTTTAGTGACATTTTGCATACAAATCCCCATCTCGTAGGGCGCAGTCACCCAGTTTCGGTGGAAGTGCGCGAGTTCGATTGGGATTCAAGTAGGAAGGGAGCGTCTCAGCTTCCTCGGACCACGACCATTCGACTCAGCACCCCGAAGACTACAACTGGTGAAATTTTAATTTTTGCCTTAACTTCCCCTTTAAGTATGCTGCAACAGGCTATGGGGCAAGGCAAGGTCACATGACCGCTGGCTGGCAATATGTATTGTAGTTCCTGCACTTTGCCGCCGAGAACTCAGCTGCAGACCAAGCTGACAAGTTGACCGAGATCCCAAGATCCGGCCACTCATCACGCTGATTAGACGCCGCCTCCAGGAAGTGTACATGCCCACAGCATTGACCAGGAGCTTGTGGCCTGGAAGGGGCGCCTCAGCTTCCGGCAATACTGGACGCTGATGCTGATGACACTGATGCTGGACCACCACCACCACCACCACCACCACCACCATCACCACAGCATCATCACCACCACCACAACAATCTTCATCATGACGAGTCACTCAAAGTCTACGAGGAGGTGGTGGTTACCCGGAAAGAGGTCAGCGATGACGGCACCGTTAAGGTAACAACATTTACAACGAAAACTTATAAATACATGAACGGAGAAGAGTACACTATTGTACACATTTTCGAGGGAATTGAGAATAATTTAAGCGAGCAAGCTTCAGTATCAGAATCTTCACCCTGTGTGAAGACTCTGGTTATCTGTATAACTTCATCATACACACTTTAGAGGGACGAAAAGCGTTTCTTCTGTAACTCTGAGTCTGAGTGAAACTCAGAGTTACAGAAGAAACGCTTTTCGTCCCTCTCAAGTGTGTGTACTAGGCTCTGCACCTTGGTGTATTGAGCACTCTCACGAGCAACCACAACTCCCTCCGAGTTTAACTTCATCATATGAGCCGGGCCGTGCGAAAAGGGCCCTAACGATGTTCACTGTACAGTGCAGTAACACGCACTTGAAAGTTGACAGGTCGATTACGTCATAGTTCACATACACCACAGTATTCGTGCGCTCGCAACGCGAGTATGGTAAGCGCTAGGCTCTACAGGATAGCACAGTGCGATGCCCCAAGGTCCCAGCTCTACGTGGGTATTTCCCTTTTTCAAATCGGCCAATGTACGGCTGAGATCGAAAAAATTTGCGTCGCGCTTCGGGGAGCGAGCTGCGCTAGTTTGGAAATTTCTCGAGTGCGATTTTCCATCGCTGTTCTTGTTTTACTATTCCTCCGCCGAGATGAGTATCTATCGACATTTCACTGTTGACGAAGCACTGAGCCTGGTCCTCACCGCCAGTGGGGATCAGTATCTCGCGCCCAGCGCTGAATCTGAATCCAATGCCGACACTAGCGCGAGTGATGACGATTCTGACGGAGAAGAAATTCGAGTGTCACGATCAGCTGTTCCACTTTCCGCTGCTGTCGTTGGTGTCTCCACCAGCCTTCATGGTGACGTTCCAGATGGCTCAGAACCCTGTGATGCGCCAGGATCGCCCAGGGAGGATGACGGTGACGAGCGATCGCTTCAGTACTGGGAAGGTGATGTGGACACGGACACAGCCGTCCATGAGTTTGTTCTGAAATGCTTTTTCGGTTCAAGAAAATCAAGAACCAGCGGGGGAACAGGCTGCTGCTGCTGCCCCTATGCAACAGGTTGGTGGCGCTGCTGAGGGACAGGCTGCTGCTGCTGCTGCTGCTCAGGTGCATGTTGCTGATGCTGGGGAGGGACAGGCTGCTGATGCAGCAGCAGCAGCAGCTGACACTCCAACGAGGTCCTGCGGCTGCACCAAAAACTGCCTCAGCAAGTTCCCATCCAGTGAAGTGGACGATTTCCAACTTACGATGAGAGGACTAGAAAAAGCAGAAAAAGGATATGCTGTTGATGGGAGTACTGTTGTCGGCGGAGTAGCGCTCTGACGCTCAGCGAGGAAAGAGAAGACGTGCAGCATTTGATTATTCGTTCCGCGGAGAGGTTGTATGCGCCGGAGCATTCAGGCAAATCTATGACGTGTCGCAGAGAGTATTGAAAAATATACTCAACCACCTGAAAAACTGCGGACCTGTGCCACGCATCAACCGTAACACGGGACGGCGGCCGCACAATGCCCTGCCGTCTGCCATTCCTCTTGGTGGCATAAGTGATGACCGGGCGCAGTACTTGTACAAGGAGATCCGTCCGTTTGTTGCTGACCCGTACAAGGACGACCTCTGCCCACAGCCCGTACCTGCAGAAGCCGAGATGTCGGATTGACTTACACAGGAATCTGCATGACTCTTGAGGAACAAACAGGGATATAACAAGCTTATGATTCACTGAATGTCATGGTTTTTTTTAAATTAATTTAGCTGAGTTATTCTTGCCATTACGAACCGCTTTCAAATAATCTAGTTTCCATTAATTTATCAGCCGTTTACTCAGAAAATACCTTGAAACGCAGGTTACAAAAATCACTATAACTCTGGTTTGGATTGACATTTTTTGGAACGGTTTTTTGCACAGCAATCCTGACAGCTTCAGCTATAATATTGGACACTAAACTCATTTTGACAAAAATCATCATTAGGGCCCTTTTCGCGTGGCCAGGCTCATATACGTCAGCAAAGACAACGCCTCTCTTGATGCCGATATATGCTCTGCCAAGACGGTGTGTCTGGAGAACATTAACGACGTGCTTAGCGCAGATGGCAAAAAAAGACGTAGTGGAAATTTTTTATCGGAAAGAACGGCGGCGGACGCCATTCTGGCGCAATACCGCTCCGACAACCGCACTGCAGCTTGTGGTAGGGTTCGTAAAAACCGCTCCGGATTGCCAAAGCGCACTGCAAACAACAGTGGATTGAAGAAGGGAGAGTTCGTCAGCCGCAGCTCTGGTGGCCTTTTGTTTGTGTAAGCTGCGTGACACAAAGGAAGTCTGCACCCCGTAGCCCAAGAACAAGAAATTGGCTGGACACGTGATGGAGGAGCGCCTTCTGAATTCCTACCTATTCCAGAGGATAAAAGGCGGCACCCTTTCCCTCTACGATTTCATAGGCGTTGCACGCTCAATGCTCGTCGATGCCGGGAAGGTTGAGCTCCGGGAGATTTGTCTTGCAAGGCCCATCACACCCACACACCCACCCACACCCACGCATGCACACACACACACCATACATAAATTCTGGACGCCCAGGTTAATTACCTTCAACGTGCAGCGTTTCGCTTCTTTCTTCAAACGCTAGCGCCACGGACACGCTGCCGAATGATTTTGATGCCGTTTTCTGCAGCAGAGCACAGGCATTGAGAGGTGGAAATGTCAAGACATGCACTAACACAGTTGATTGAGTCACATCACAGGTAACGTATGCCCCACCTCATACACACATTTCATACATATACAGTCAACCCAGTGAATAAGGACCTCGACTCACGACTGGATGAAGCAGTTTTTGATCGGTCCGGCCATGCCCTAGCCTTTCATACTGTGTGTATCGGATGGATGGTACACACATGACCTCCTCAGCAGTAAACACACACGTTGGCGGCCAAAACGTTGGTCCGGTCATGGCCTGACCAACCGGACCAGTTCCGCCGGGCCTGATAGGGCATAAGAAGAACTCTCGAGCAACGACACAATCTTTGGACCTAGTGCCCGTTTCACTGCATGCCTTCAGCCTCACGAAAAACGACAACTCGCAAATAACGACACTTTTCTCATACATGATTGTGGGTCGTTATTCGCAAAGTTGACTGCATGGACGATTAGCCATCTCTTTCTGGCTCCTGCCAGGGACTTGTCCTACTCAGTGTTTTCAGAGTTAAGATAAAAACATTGTCAGCTCAAACAAAAACAAAAAAATAAAAAAATTCGCCTCCCTAGCCCTTTGCCGGTCTAACTCAATGTATGTGAGGGGTGGTCACGCAAACACATGTACACACAACCAGCAATAACTCAAGAACCATGTGATGTAGGTATGGGTAAACCATATATTTTCAAAATCTGTGTGCCTGAACGCGTCCAGAAAATTCAAATATGACTAGGTCCAGGCAAGGATAGGGCCCATGGTAGCCCTTCAAGTTGAGAGAAAATACAATTGCGAATGAAATACACGAATATCACAGCACGAAGGGCATACCAAGTTCGTGATGGAGCTGAAGTCGTACGATAAACAATCAGGTAAGGGCTACGTCTTTACAAGAAATGTAGGCTCTCTACAATACCGCCATTGAACACCAACACCTCGCCATCGGCGATACGCCAGCAGCAGCAATTCCCATTGCACGATATCGCAGTTTCGTTTTGTTCATCTCAGCGCTGCTCGCGTCAGATTCACTCTCGCTCAGATGAGTACTCAGGCGCGAGCTTACGCATGCCGTGATTCTCACGGCCAGGCGAATCAGCTGATCGCACCTGACGAGTCCTTGTGACAGTCGCTGTCGCCGTGTCGGCAGCAAGAAGGCTTCCTCTCTGTTTGGAGAATTTTGTTTCTTCATTCGTGGACGATATATTTTTGAACTAGCAGGACTCAACGGAGCTCTTTTTCTCAACACACTACACTGCAAAACCTCCCGGGACATCCAGCCTGGACTAGTGATGTTACTGCTCTCAGAGCGCTTGTCAAACACGGCCCCAAGAGATGCACTCGCATTCTTGAAATGCGCGCATGGCGGATGGTCGTCTTTTCCAATTTCAACAAACTTCAGTCGATCGATACGGCAAAAATTTGTATGGTAAGCATGGTTGTTTTGCACATCGTCAGAAAGCCTTGGACCTCAGCTACGCGTAGAGCGCCATTTTAGCTGTCTCCTAGCAACAAGACCCCAAAAAAATGAGGGCCAAACGTACCGATACTATAGTATCGGTACGCTTGTGGTAGACCGGTAAAGGGCTAGAAGACTCCCCCCCCCCCCCCAATTCTTCGGCGCCTGACAGTGCTGTAGCTGAAACTGGCTATAGTGAGTGCGTTCGATTACACACTTGAATCGATTCATGAATCCATTCGCATGCATTCAAGTCGTTCGATTTCATGTCATGAGCCCTGGAATCGATTCGGAATCCATTCCCTCTATTCACATGGGGTGATGTGAATAGCGCGAATCGATTCATGAATCGATTCGTGAATCGATTCGCGCGTGTAATCGAACGCACTCACTGTGTTTCAAAAGTATAGACCTCTAGACTTTTTTGAATGATTTAAATTTGGTTTGAGCTTTTTGAGAAATTTCTTCGGAATATTGCTCAGGAAGCTCCCGCAATTTTCCTCATATAAATTTCTGAGCGATAGGATAAAAAACGCCCAATTTCGGGAATTTTATGCACAAAGTGATCACAATTTTATGTGTAATAGATACGAGCGGTTTCTTTGAAACGGGAGGTCTGGACTTATGAAACGCACTATAGTGGCGTAGTATATAGCAGTAGTAATAGCAGTAGTAGTAGTAGCAGTAGCAGTAGTAGTAGTACCTGGATTTGCAGAATATCAATGTAGTAGTGTCGAGCTAGGCCTGCGCCATCGGCACAGTACAACTCCAGGTAGCTAGCGGCATTCTGGACAGGAACGCACACAGGAACACACACGCACGCACGCAAGCATGCACGCAAGCACACACACACACACACAGGCACATGTTGTGAACAGCAGCAAACAGGCAAACGGACGCACACCGCGACGGACAGACACCACGCACAGAGAGATGGATACGCACACAACGACACACAGATGGTTGGATATGAGGAAAAGTATTATACTCACTACATTATAACTAAAAAGGAAGACTCTTACTAGAAACTGAATTGTTGCGACTTCGGCGGTAATGCCTGCAGGTGCCTACACCTAGTGTTGGAGCTCTCGCTTCCTGCTGATTGGCTTTCAGAATATCTCACGAACATTACCAAAAAAGAGATGCAGTCAAAGGCAGGTGACTCCACTAACCAGATATTCCGGAATGTTGAGTTGGTCACGGTTCAATCCCTCGTCTCCACTCTCAAAGAAATCAACGAGGACCTGAAGACAAAGGGGGGGGGGTGGAGAGAGAGAGAGAGAGAGAGAGAGAGAGAGAGAGAGAGAGAGAGAGAGAGAGAGAGAGAGAGAGAGAGAGAGAGAGAGAGAGAGAGAGAGAGAGAGAGAGAGAGAGAGACAGACAGACAGGAGACAAACAGACAGAGGAGGAGGAGTGAGGGGGACAGAGAAAGAAAGGGAGAGACAGTAGGAGAGGAAAAGAGAGAAAGAATGAATCATGCAATTTCCTGCCATTGATCTCCTCCATTGACCAAAGGGAGGCCGCATAACTTCCCGACAATTCGAACCTTTGCTAAATCTAATCAATTTTAGCACAGCAAGGGTGGCGTCAGGTTAAACACCCCAAAAGCGGCATCTTGTCCAGCAAAAATGACGTCAATCAGGATTGGACTCGGATGGAGAGCCAAGGATAAATTTAGAGAAAAGAAAAAGGTCAGTTAGTTGTAAAACGTCAGTACCGTCGGTCAGTGTCGTGCAATGTTATCGCACGAGCTGATTGTTTAGTAACTGGTGGTGTTAGTGGACATTATAGCGTAACTTGTAGTTCCTTGGTCCTTTTTTCCTTTCTATAAATCAATCAGGATTAGAGAACATAGCACGCCCGAGGCACAGCAGGCACTCCTGTTTTGCCTGGATCACTCTTACATACCAGCTTACGCGTGCTCATCAAAGACAAGTGTGTTTGCTTGTTGGACGACTTTAAATGAAATCCAATCAAACAAACAAACTCGGAGTCGGAGCCAAACTTTTTTTAAATGTAAAAATATGAAGACACATGGATATGTGTGACGGTTTACTGGGACTGAGCCAGGAAACATACCTCCAGTGCTGTCTGGATGGACTTGTAGAAGCTACTATTGGGCGCCTTTACACGGCCCTGCAAACGGCACAAGCATTAAAAATGGAGAGAGAGAAAAAAAAGAGAAAACCATATTACAGTGTTTAGCTCACTGTCTGAAGTTCGCGTTTTGCAACAAAACACAATGAAGCTGAACAAATAGGGTTCCCCGAAAATGGTCCCTATGTACAGGACAGGCCACCCCTTATCCTGGTTAGGGAGTATGGTTAGAGTGACTTAGTCTTTGTCCTGTCGGAGGGGGGGGAGACATCAACTGACTTCGTGCTGTCTGGGGAGGGGAGTTGTGCTGTGTGTGTGTGTGGGGGGGGGGGGGGGGGGAGGGAGTGTGTGAGAGAGGGAGAGAGAGACTTTGTGCTGTTTTCCTGAGGGGGGGGGGCAGAGTTAGAGTGACTTTGCACTGTTTGGCGGTGCGGAGCACGCAGAATTGAAAGCGGAACGGGACGCTCTTGAACAACAGTAATTCTACACGGTTAGCTGTGAATGAACGTGCGATGTACAAGATCTCAGCAGCAGTTTTTGGAACACTTGGGAAAAAATATTCATTGTGTTTATTTTGCCCGTAAAAGAGGCAGTCAACAGCACATGAGCTGTAAAGCACCGCAACGCACTTTACCTCGTTACTGCGTTGCACAACTTGGTGGAAGACAGACATAGCACAGCGGTAGATCTCCTGCATTATCCTATACACCACACATAGTCAACACACACATACACACACATCATGGTCCAGGGATGAGTTTATCCTGTATCGCATCGCAGTTTGCTATGCAAAATCGATCTACTGCTACTCAAAACTCACCGTGACTAGCAGAAAACGGTGATACAAACAGGATATCCATGCCTAGCTTGCGCCGTCAAGTAACATGCATACAGTGCAGTGTAGGTGGTACATGACTATACTCTCAATCTGTGTGCACATGTATGCTGCAAGTAACCACACGTAGGGTGGAAGCTAGCGGGACATGTACACAGACATCTTTTTTTTGTGCTAAGGCGAGACCAAAATAAAATCGAGATTCCCGGGCAGGACCCATGTGAAATTGGTGTGGGCGGGCGAATTTTTATTTTTTATTTTTTTCCTATGACTGTGTGTATGCGCATATGCGCATGCCATGCCGAGCTTTTTTTACAGTATTTCCCAGTAATTTTTATTTTTTTATTCAAATTTCACAAAAAACAGGCACGCGGTTTACCCGTTCAATTTTTCTGTATTTCGGCCAACGATGGTTCTGATCTGTACATCAGGGAGTCGTACAAGCTCGGGTTTGTGTGACTCCAAGTCACAGATCTACTCACACGATTAGTACTGTAAACGTATTAGGCCGGGAGCATCTCATCAGTTCGCATTTTGTTTCTAAACGTAACGCATTTCGAAACGGGGGTAGGGGGGTAGCGCCCATTTCGGATAGAAAAATGACCGTTCGCACATTTTCTGGATGTGTGCAATACAGTGCTGAGCTTGTGCTAGACCGCTTCAGACAGCAGGGTACGGTTGTGTTTTAGGTGTAGATTTAACCCTTGCACTACGCATGCAGGCTACTCAGAGGTGTCAAATGTCACACCAGCCTGATCAAACCGTGTACCTGCCACCTGGCCAGCTTTGACAGTACAGGCGTTGTGGAGGAACTCTGTTTATGTGTGTGTACATGTCATTGTCATTGATCTAAGACTGTAACTAATACTTACTTGTACTCAGTAGATGTGGTACTACTGTATGTCATTCACTTTGACACTAGCGTCCATGTCCATGTACATGAACATTGTACATGATTGTGCATACCATGGTATGTACAGTACAGTAGATCTACACTGAAAATGTGCGATAAGACTTTCAAATAGTGGGGGGAGGTAGGGGGGTAAAGTCTATTCGAAATGCGTTACGTTTACAAAAAAAGTGCGAACTTATGAGATGCTCCCTTATGAACTGTTCAAAAAAAAAGGCCTTGGCTCCATTTTGGTGCGGGAGGGCCCGGGAATCACTAATTTTTTTTGCTCTCGCCTAATCAAAGATTGCCACACAATTGAGATTTTGTATAGCAAAAACTGCTATGCAAAAAAATAACAGTAAATTCATCACCGTAGTCAACACACAGATACACAGAGAAGTTAACCCTTTACCGGCAAGTGCATTTTGCATATGAAATCCATAACATTGAGAAGGATGCCAAAAACTCACAACGAGGGCACATTTTGTATGTGCAAGTTATGTTTTCTTGGAAGTCTGGTACTACTTCTTGACGATGGAAAAAATTATTTTCATATACCACACACATACGCTACTAAATTGGCACCTATACGTCTAAACATGGAAATTGTACACAATGCAAATCGTCAGATTCCGACATTGACATGAAACTGCCAAAACAAGTCGACATCAGAGCGGAAACGAACGCCATAGCCATCACAGACTTCAGTGGCCGTGCCTCGCTCGCAATTGAGAGCAGCATCGCCCCAAAATCGCTGTCCGATGGCTCCGTAAGGTCGTGCGCAAGTCGCGCAGCGCTGCCGTCACTCAGGTACGTAGAAAGTCGATGGCTTAAAATTCCGTCTCTGGAAGACTGTCGACACGGGGATCACTCTCCATGGCTTCCAGACCATAAGCACCATCAGATTCTTCCAGTTACATCCAACGACATCGTCTTCAGCGGCTGGAGCTCCCGATATTTGCGTGAGAATTTACTTGGCGTGCGCTCCGCTCCGCAATTTGAAATTTGCTTGCATCGGCGGCTGGAACGAAGTATTTATCTATCTGTCGTGGGTCCCAGAGCTAAGGTCTGCTAGGTCCTCGTCGGAGAAGTCCTCTGAGGACGAAAGGAACTCACTGCGCAAGAGGAAATGAACCTGACGACGTTTTGACGGAGGCAGACGGCATTGTCGGCGCGCGTGTATTTCCGTAAATTTTCGATCGCGCAGTTCTCAATGAAATCAAATGGGACACGCGTAGATCTCTTCAGCTACGGATAGGATCATACCTAGGCTGTGTGAGGGCCACGGGAAATCCCCGTGGGCTGATGCTTCCTGTCATACCAGGCATGGGTTTAGTATGCATGTCGAATGCGTCGTTTACGACGCATTCAAGTATGGGGCTGCCGGTAAAGGGTTAACAGACCAACGGACAGACAGACAGACAAACAGACAGACAGGCAGACAGACACAATGCACACTATTTGGTCACAAAACAAATTGGGACTCATGCCGCGCTTCAACATCTACCACAGTTTCGACTTGTCCTCTGTGATTCCATATCGATACGAGGAAGAAGTTGTTTGTTGTAAACCAGATGTACATGTACCTGCGCGAGGAATATTTCTTCGAGTTCACAGGGAGTTTTCCAGGCAGTTCATACGGCCCCGGTGCAGTAAGACGGCAAACTCCCCGGGGATCGCCAGGATTGTTTTTACAAATTTTTGAAACGCACTGTGACATCCTATAGAACTCTACCAGGCAGAATGCGTCCCTGTATAAAACAAACATTTGTTCACCGATATTGCACATCAACTACACTCACTCCATGAATGTGCTTGAGATGAGTTCCTTCATGAGCATCTTGAGATTCTCGGCAAGGTAGACCATTAGCGGATCAAGAGACTGGATGGTGCATACAACAAGGAACAAATGAAACAAACGTGGGCAATTAGTCTCCGAAAAAAGAACACATTTCAAGATGGAGGCGTCGTCAGTATTAAGAGCAGGAGCAAATGCAGGAGAGGAGTTCCAACAAGAGTATATAACCCCCCAAGAGTGTGCAACTCTGCATATGGGGTCTCCGACGGCGAAAACTCACATCACGTGTCTCAGATACGTTCGTACTACGTACAAACGAAATATAGTGTGCACGCAATCCGAATATCTGCCATGATCATGCTAGGGATTTGCATACCCGCAGTGAGTTTCTGTCAGAGTGCTATTTTTGAATTACTCCACTGCTTGCTAAAAACGGGCTGGAAACGTACAACTGCGACACTGCACCATGTGATGTGAGTTTTCGCCGTCGGCGTACCCCATAGAAAGAGTATCGGGAGTTGCATACTCATGGGGGGTTATATACTCTTGGTTCCATGTGTGTGTGTAGTGGACCGACTATTCAAACATTGCTGACAAACAGCACTTCTGTATAGACTTACGCAGAAGGGTATGCTATTGACAGACAGACACACAGACAGACAAACAGACAGACAAACAGACACACACACACAAGTGTACACAGTCATAATTACATGTCCACACACGGAGATACGGCTACGCCTCTCACCTCATCCACTGGACAGCCATCCGTTAGTTTTTTCAGGAATATCTCCGTCTTGCGTTGAATATCAGGGCTCATCTGATAAGCATACGATTGAAAAAAACATTAAAAATAAATTTCACAGCTTGTTGGAGATTGTTTGGTTGGCAACACCTAGACCAGGATTCACAAGAACACCACGTTTGGTTGGGACTGCACCTGCTTTGGATCGCCCAGAACAGAACACAGAACACTTGCTTGCTCCGGCCTCGAGGCCAGAGTCAAAGCGACAGATGGGGCTCGCACAAACAGCGGAGGTGAAAGGACTAGACTCTCTCGGCAAAGGGTGGAAACGCCGAATGTCATCCATTTAGTACCGGACAAACATAAGACCTTCGCAAGCACTCACGCGCATAGGTGAGCAAGAACCCAAATATACTCTCTCTCTCCCTCTCCCTCCCCCCCCCCCCCCCCTCTCTCTCTCTCTCTCTCTCTCTCTCTCTTTTCCTTACCCGGACGCCGATTTGATCGATGATCCGTCTTCTCGTCTTCTCCCTGCTCTCTCTGTATAGATCCAGCATGTTACGCTCGATGTCATCAACTGCATTACCTTTGGTGCTGCGCACTCGCTCCGCCAACTCCTGCCAGCCCAGGTCGACGGGAATGCCCTCGAGAATCTTGGTGCTGTGATCAAGGCCATTGAGTGTGATGGTCAGCTGGAAGCATCAAACAACACAGGGACATTCCCGGACATGGGTAAGTGCAGTGGGCTGCCCCAGGGAATGGTATCTACAGAAACAGCGTGGACGGTTGTTACCAACCAAGAGTACATACAGTAACACTCCCCAGGTCGGGGCAGGTCGGGACTGAGCACTGCCCGTAACTAGGAATTGCCCGCAACCGTCAGAAATTACACACTTGCTGCCACGCAAGTACAGATTTGTTATGCCGATCAATAGTTTTTGGGGCCATTTTCGTTGAAAAGTCAATTTTCTGACTCTAGATGGGTTAGAAAGGTGGCCAGTAGACGGACGTGCCCGGATTAGGGATGCTCAGATCTGGAGAATTTTACTATACCCCAGGAATACCAGAGGATGCACCCAGTGTGCTGAGAGCGCGGAGGCAAAGCGGCGCGCACACAGAACAACAAGGCACAAAGTTGCAACTCTAGTTTCATACTGCCTGATGACTGCATAGTATTGATGAACATGCAGTACATGCATAAGCATTGACAAGTTTTCATGATCAGCATTGGCTTGGTGAAGTGGCAGTACCACTGCCACGCTTACCTCAACGGAGATGTCGAACTGCCCAACCGTATCATAGTAGCCCTTGTCTCTCAGCTTGTCCTCCACGTACTTCTCAAACGCGGCCAGGACGGTCAAGCAATGCTCGTACGTGCGTGACATGTAGGAGAATCGCTCCTCCTCGTCTGGCCAGTCGAGTCTCTGGTAGTGCTGACACAGCTGTGAAAGGATGCCCGACATTGCAAAACCAACCATGTAGGAACACACAAACACATGCATGCGCGCACACACGCACATACAAACACACACATGCACATGCGCACACACACGCACGCACACACACACAAACACACACACACACACACACACACACACACACACACACACACACACACACACACACACACGCACGCACGCACGCACACACGCATACATCAGCTATGCACACAGCCTCGCACAAAGTCCACGCTCAGCGGATAATTCCCACATACTTCGCTACCAATTTTCTCAATATTCATAACCTAACCAGGAGGGGTTCCAGGGGTTACGTGGCACCCCCTAAATTTCGTTCTCTTCGTTCTATTGGCAACCATATGCGTGTACAATACATGTATCAGCTGTTCAGTTTTGACTATACTGGAAACCCCTGTAGAGATCACTCGATTCGCCGCTACTAACCAAAGAGTGAAAGGTAGTGATTCACCACCACCTGCATGAATCCAACACAAACTAGCAAAGACACAGGAAGGGATCAATTGTACCCAAAGGAGTTTAAGTTACTATAACACTTTACCTGTTTGATTATGCTCTCTACGTCCACTGCCATTGTGCCATATTCAAGATTATTAGCCGCTCGGACAGCCTGATGCAGTGATCATGTCGATGACGATGAGGAGGAGGGGAGGACACATTGTGAAGTGAATTGCGACAAACAGACAGAAGCACAGACAGAGAGACAGACGAACAGACACACACATGCACACGCACAGACACATGCACACGCATGCACGAATACACACACACACGCACACACACACGCACACACACACGCACACACACACACACACACACACACACGCACGCACACACATGCGCGCGCACGAACACACACCTCAGACCTCAGACCGGCCCATCGCGGAAGCGATGATAGCGAACAGCTATGTTAGACATAGCAACTTGTGCTGGGATTGCACCATTCAACAGCTTGCAAGGCTGATGAATTGACCGCCACTATTTTTAGCCTGGTATCCACCACACGGCTGATTGAAGTGACTTTTCTGGCCAGTGAATCCCTTTTCCATTTTTCCATTTTTTCTTTTCGACACACACACACACCACACCACATACTCCGGCATACACTGGCTGTTGGTACCCACCCAGGAGAATGAAAGAAGAGCTAGGAGAATGAGAAAGAGAAGAAAGACGTGTGCGACCATAATCGTCGGGAATTGAACCCGCAACCTCTCGATTGGAAATCGACTGCACATACCACTGCACCATATGGGACACACACACACACACACACACACACACACACACGCACGCATACACACACACACGCACGCACACACGCACACACACACACACACACTTGTACTTGTACTTGTACTTGCTCACTGCCAAAACTGGTCACGTGGGTCTCCCCGGGAGAGGGGAGAGAGACTCAAAAGGAATCTTGGAAAGATGACTCAATTGGCCATTGAACCACCCAGCGGCCGACACCCCCTGAAATCCCCAAACTAGGGTGGACTTGAAATGATCCCACTTACGGGCTCACCACACCTCAGTAAGTGGGTGAGGACAAGGTGCAGAAAAAGGATTGACGGTATCAGGGTATCCGTCCCGGGATCCAACTGCAGGTACCCCTGCCCCCAGTGAAAGTAATACTTGGTACTAGTGTGGGTGGCTAAATCAGAGTGGATCTGATATAAGCTTCACTAGCACCATTGATTACACAAGAGTTAATCTAGCCAGAAGCAGTCCATGGTTAACAGGTATGTATACTTCAAATAGAAAGTATATGAACCCTGAAACCAACAAAGGTGGTAGGTACAACAATACACCTTCAAGCAGCCGAGCCCGTTGGCAACAGGCCCAACACAACACACACACACACACACACACACACACACACACACACACACACGCACAACAGAATGTTTCCATACTACTCTCAGTTGCTTCCTTTTAGTTATTGAATCAAGCTCTATTTAAACAGTTGACTTTTGTGTGGAAATCCACAAAAAAATATTAAGGGCGCATTCAGACGGGTATGTTTGGTGTGTGTGAACGGGCTTGGCAGGAAACACGCTGTGAAAACATGAGTGACATTCACACGTGCATTACATTCACGCCAGAGACTCCCGTGAAAAAAGTAGGAAAATGTTCACCTGCGACAAGGTTGTAGCGCTGACATGGTGAAAAAGTGCGAAATTCTAAGGGCGCGTTTGGTTGGTACGAACTAGAACAGGATTCACCAGAACAGCGCGTTTGGTTGGGACTGCACCTGTTCTGGGTCGGCCAGAACATGTTCTGCTTGCTCATGCCTCGAGGCAAAAATATGCTCTGTTTCTGGAGTACCGTTTGGTTGGCATGAGGCTGCTGAGGAGACCGGAAGTGCTTCTGAGGACGAGCTGCTGTTGTTTGGCCGGCACCCCACTTGGGGTGTGTGAGCCACCGAGGAGACCGGAAGTGCTTCCGAGGACGAGCTGCCGTTGTTTGGCCGGCGCCCCACTTGGGGTGTGTGGGCCACTGAGGAGACCGGAAGTGCTTCCGAGGATGAGCTGCCGTTGTTTGGCCGGCACCCCACTTGGGGTGTGTGGGCCACTGAGGAGATCGGAAGTGCTTCCGAGGACGAGCTGCCGTTGTTTGGCCGGCACCCCACTTGGGGTGTGTGGGCCACTGAGGAGACCGGAAAGGCTTCCGAGGATGAGCTGCCATCCGCACTTCCATCTCTTGCCACGACACAGTCTGCGTCAGCATCGTCCTACACCAATCGTCGGCAACGTGGCTGTGATGCACAGATGAACAGGCCGGCGTCTGCCTCACCTGTTGGTAGGTTCGCCTGCTGTGCCTCGTCACAAAAGACAGCTGTCTGCTACTTGGGGTGGCAGTCTGTCTGGTCACACTCCTGTGGTGGCCCAGCAGCAACCGCTTAGGTGCAACTCCGCATCAAGACGTCAGTTGGACGACCTTCTGCTTGGTGGTTCGGATGAGAGCATGAGGAAGAGGTACGTCTCTCTCCCTCGCCGCGCCTAGTGGTGGCCCAGCAGCAACCGCTTGAGTGCAACTCCGCACCCCGACGTCAACTGGACGACCTTCTACTCAGGGGTTCGGATGAGGGCATGAGGAAGAGGTAAGTATCTCTCCCTCGCTGTGTCTAGAACCAACACCGGCCCAGAAACGGAACGCTCCATCTGACCAACCCACTCCAGACCTTAACATGCTGCCGCTGGAGCTGGAATTCCCGACGCTGACACAGATTGCGCCAAGGACAAAGATAAGGATGGTGATAGTAACACTTCTCTGTACATGCTTTCAGCCATGGTGTGCTGTAACTATACTGGTAATATTTGTACTGCCATAATAAATCTCCAGCAAATATCTGGCAAGGTGCGTGTCTGTCCCTCCCTCCGTCTCTCTCTCCCTCCCCCTCCCCCTCTCCCTATTTCATTGATCAGCACCATACTAACATAGTAGTTCTGCATTCGTCAGGATGACGGTGCTGAACAAGAAAGCAATTGGTGTATAAACACGCTGGTCTTGGCTGACCTACCCGATCAAGGTCCACCGCTTTGCCCACCATATCCATGGCCTTGATTTCAGCAACGCTCAGCCACACATGCACAAACGGAACAAACCAGGAGTGGAAGTCCTTCAGCTTAGACTCGGCAAGACCGTCGCTGTGCACGGATGAATACATGCATACATACGCACACGCACGTACACACACACACATGTACAAAACACACACACACACACACACACACACACACACACACACACACACATGTACAAAACACACACACACACACACACACACACACACACACACACACACACACACACACACACCAACAACAGAAAAAAAACAGGTTAGCATCCAGACAGATCATGCAAGAACAGACAAGGAGAATGTGAAGCAGGAAATCACCCATGCTGGTGCTATCCATCCACGACACAACTTTGCTCGTTTGGAGAGCACTTCACTTCCCTTGTATTCACACCAGGCATGTCGATGTATGTCACCACTAAAACTAAAACTATACGCCGCCGGTACAGCAGGCTGGAATTCAGGCTTGCACTGTAATTTCACAAATTTTCAGTGTACACTCGGATGTCTCTTATCCGGGCACCTTGTGACGGGGCACTGCCCGTATCTCAGAATAACTCATCTACCATGTATCATATCATTTTTTGAGAAGAAGTTTATTTGGCAAGTATCGCATTATGTTCAGGTTACAGAAAGAATCCATTGATTAAAAGGAGTGGGTTTCACAGGTTGGCAGTGACAAATAAGCACTTGCGCATACAAAAAAAGTTCAACTCCCCCAAACTCAAAGCATTTTTGCCATAGGAACTCAATCTGAAGGTGCCCGGTAGAGAGGCGTGCCCGTATCTGAGGTGTCCGGATAAGAGGCGTTTGAGTGTACTTTTATTTTCAGTACTTTCGGTGCATCTGTTTCATACCTAAAAATTCAATACACCGAACAAACACTAACACACATAATCCAATAGGGAACTGCTTCTCTGTACCTAAAATTTCTGTTCACCTAACCTGGCCTTTTGCCCTCATACCGAAAATATTGAGCACCGAAAATTTCTGAAATTAGAGCAACTTACTGGTTCTCCAGTTGACTGACGTATGCATAGACTTCCTGCAGGGCGATGTACAGCTGGAATGAGGCGGTCGATACTTCCTGCCCTTCGGGTGTCTGCGGTACCCACTTGCTCTCCTGTGATGCAAGCTCAGCCATGGTGGAGGAGACACGCTGACAGATCTGTGCATGCAGTACGGGTAAGCAGGACCACGTCAAAAATACGCACACACACACACACACATGTATGTACACACGATTGAAAGCACACACGCACACAGACACACAGACGTACATACACACGCACACACACACGCACACACACACACACAAACACACACACACGCACACACACACACACACACACACACACACACACACACACACACACACACACACACACACAGATGCACACATGCACACACACACACACACACACACACACACACACACACACACACACACACACACACACACACACACACACACACACACACACACACACACACACACACACACACACACACACACACACACACACACACACACACACACACACACATGTGGACACACAACGCACATATCCAGAGTGAACAAGAGTGAACCAAGTCAATTTCATTTCATTACAAACAAAAACTATTTGCTACGCAAGTCGAAAGATGTCTGCGCAACACTGCACAACCATATTCAAACTGGGGAACACATGTATACACAACAAACATGGCAAGATATGAGAGAGAGTGTGTGAATGGGAATACACACGGAAAATAAGTCAACGCTGGAAGGAAACAATTTCTTTCATAAAGTAATAGCCAGAGCGTTTGAAAGTACCACAGTATTCAAGCAAACACCCACGCAGCAGCAGCGGCGGCAGCAGCAGCAGCGGCACCGACAACAACAACAATAACAACAGAAACAGTACCTGGCGATCTACTTCCGTGAAGACGACTGCAAAGTAGGAGAGACCGAGGCTGCGAAGACAAACAGGACGGAGGACGGAGGGGAGACAACACTTCATGGACAACAAGCATACTCAGTGAGATTGTTGAAATTGCACAATCGGACGCGGTACACGTAAGTGCAGTGGAAATACACACAACTCCACAAGACATGTATAGTGATGGCAACTGAAATCCAACCCCCTGGTGTTCGTGCTCGAGGGCAGCACCGGTTCTAGCGGCCTCTACTTCGGTAGTATTACAAGTGCGTGCTGGGTCTTTGCAATGTAAGCGCTCCGAGCTGGGGTGGGATTTCAGTGGCCACACTACTGCAGATTCCTCTGTATTTCCAAGGGAAACATTTGCATTTGCAGGGCAGCCACACACACACACACACAATTCAATACACAGGGGTCCAGAGATGTATGTATGTGTGCATGCGATGTTTATACAGAGGAGAATAACTATGCTGCACAGAGCAGACAGCAAATATACTACTTACTGGCTGGATGGTGCAAGGCGAACGGGTGAAAGTTCAGACGCAAGAAAAGCCGATCCCAACAGATTACGTTACGGCAGAACCATGGCATGATAAGTCATATCAGTTGGTACGCCGATAGACACACATGTGGACAGACAGAGGGAGATGCAAATGAACACATAACACAGGCATGCACACACACACGGACACCAACACGTAGTAAGGCATACGCTCTACTAAACAACGAGCTATGTGCTGCAGCACTTGTGGTTAGAACACTCTGGCTTTCGAAGCTCACGTAATCAGAAATGCGTCGTCGTTCACTGAACATCATCGTGATTGGTGGTGCCAGTTATTCTGAGCTCCACTGAAAGGTCCTAATGCTGTGGTAGCTGTTAGCTGTCCAGAGACCAACTAGACAAACAGTTCCACACTCAGGGGCGTCGGAACCGGTGCGGCAGGTCCGGCCAAAACCGCACCAATAATTTCATCTTGTGACTTTTGAAGCAATGAAATAGGGGCTATTTGGGCCCAGTTTCCCTAAAATCTTGACAGGGAGGACCCCCGGACCCCCACCTACTCATGCGGCCGCACCAGTGTCGAATACTTTCCGATGCCACTGACACTGGACACAAACTCAATACTGTGGACAGCTAACTGACTCCGACAATGAGGCCTAATCCGTATAACGCATGCACCTACAGGCTAAACTAGAAGTGAACTGGCGACCATCGTGACAAGACGTACAGGCATGTTGCTGGATATGTAGAGAATTTTCAGACACCAGTCTTTACAACAGCGCAATAGTTTCAGAGTGCCACGATTTCAAGCACATTTATCATTTCCCCACACGACGTGAAGAGCCAAATGGCTTTGTATCAACGACTTTTCCGCACACCTGCAGACAATAAGAAAGGGCAGTTTCATGAGATCAATTCTCACATATGTACACTGTACGGAGCAAGCTATCCAAGGGAGATGAGAAAATCAACGGCAACAGAATATCAAGTCAGGTCAGCGGGAAAAGCACGAGCTCCAGTGTGGGAGCGTCCAACTTCCATATAAAATTATGGCCGAGGTCGCTACCATTCGGATTGATTGGATTGGTTACCATGATTTCGAACAGAATGAACGTCCCAGTAAACAATGCTACAAGCTGCTACAAGCAATCATACTTCTTATAGTGGTGGTCGTAGAAATGCCCAGCGTCGACTAGGTCGTTCCTGATGTCCCGTACTACAGCCGTCAACTGCTGCAATGTCTGCACAGTGCCCTGGTTTGTACAGAGACATACACACACACACACGCACACATACACACGCACACTCACACACACACACACACACACACACACACACACACACGCACACATACACACGCACACTCACACACACACACACACACACACACACACACGCACGCACACACACGCGCACGCATGCACACACACGCACACGCACGCACACACACACACACACACACACACACACACACACACACACACACACACACACACATACTTGCAGTATATACTAGTGGTCTAGTACGCGTCCAGACAGAACACAAACAGAACGTAACTAGAGAACCAGGAGCATGGCGAGGACACGAGTCACACGCGGAGCAGGGACCAGCTGACAGAAAACCAGAGGTGCTGCTGTGTAGACTTACTGTAGTAGTTTGAGCGGCCCGCGCTTCCATCTGGTCCAGCCATTTCGAAGTTGACTCCTGCGATGGACACCAAGCACACATACACACGTACAAGCAAAGTAGAGCAAGATGGTAAACTGGCTATGGCTTTCTACTAGGGCTGAAACGGTTATTACGAATAACCGGTTATGTAACCGTTAGGGCCAAACAAACGGATAACCGTTTGATCGACGGTTATGCAGCGATTTTTCGAACATTTTTTGAAAAATAGGAACCTTCATAACTCCGTCATTTCTTGTTCAAATTCAACAATCGAAGGCTCTACGTGGTAGCGGAAACTCCGAGCTCTCCATTGCAACAATCGCCAAAGATCTGCGATGTCTGACTCCAGAGATATCGCATGCCGAATTCTTATCTCAGCAATTTTTCGATCGATACGCATCACCACCTTTAGTGAAACAAATCCTTTTTTGCGTGCATTTGGAGCGCGCGACTAGTCCACTGAGCACAAGATAGGGACGTAGCGGCCTGAAGTTCAATCGTCTCAAAATATTTGTGCGTTCTGCGATGGAAGAAAGTGAAGTGGCGTTGATGGGATGGATTTGCTTGCATATCGGGCTTGGAAACGACTTCGCTGTGTTCCTGCGCCTGATATGTGGAGATTGCTTGATGGAACCTAGTATCATCGCTTTGCTCTCACCAGGAGCTTTCCGAGGAGCCCAAGATTGTGAAAATCAAGTGAAGGACACCAAAGTTATGACCTCAGGTGTAAGGTGAAAATTGTGCACTCCATTTTTTTAGCTACCCAGCGGATGTTACCTATTTTCGAGTATTTTGTACAGAATCATGAAAATTCTTCAGACAAGGCATAAAATGGCGTCAAAAACAATGAAGTTTCACTGTTGCAGTCTTATAGGTTATAACCGGTTAACCGACCGTTATGCTAACAGCTAACTGTTAAGCACAAATGTGTAACCGTTTCAGCCCTACTTTCTACAATTAATATGTACCTTGAATTGTGCAAGACACGATGCACAGTCAAAGAACACAGAGGGAGAGAGAGAGAGAGAGAGAGAGAGAGAGAGAGAGAGAGAGAGAGAGAGAGAGAGAGAGAGAGAGAGAGAGAGAGAGAGAGAGAGAGAGAGAGAGAGAGAGAGAGAGAGAGAGAGAGAGAGAGAATGAGAGTGTGAGAGAGAGAGTGTGAGAGAGAGAGTGTGTGGAGTGTGTGTGAGTGAGAGAGAGAGAGAGAGAGAGAGAGAGAGAGAGAGAGAGAGAGAGAGAGAGAGAGAGAGAGAGAGAGAGAGAGAGAAAGAGAAAGGGAGAGAGAGAGAGAGAGAGAGAGAGAGAGAGAGAGAGAGAGAGAGAGAGAGAGAGAGGCGTAGGAAGTAAGTTTTGAAGCAATTCACACAGCAAGCTCAAAGGAATCTCCTCGCTTCATATGCGCTCACCCGTATTGTCGTCTGGATATCTTCTTGCAAGTTGCGTTTGGGAAAGAAGTTGGTGAAGCCCTTGAACTTGTATACGGCTGAAAGAGATCTGAGGAACGATGGAGTCCGACAGACAGACAGACACACAGACAGACAGTCAGTCAAGCAGACCGACAGACAGACGGACCAACAGACAGACGGACCGAAAAACAGACGGACCAACAGACAGACGGACCGACACACAGACATGCAGGCAAACATACAGACCCACAGAAAAAACGGACCGACAGAAGTTGTAGAAAAGAGAAAGGACCAAGGAACTACAAGTTACGCTATAAGTATCTAATATTGACTGGGTACGAGGTCAATATAGGAAATAAAAGCCGAGTAAAAGACCGAGGCGAAGCCGAGGTCTTTTACGAGGTTTTTATTTCCTATACTGACCAAGTACGAAGTCAATATTAGATTTATCACAACAAACAGTCCGTATTTCAAATTCCAGAACGATAACCTCATGAATCCCGGTTTTATGATTGCACAACCGTTGCACCACCACCTACTCATGCAGTGACAATGCTGCACTAGGCACCGTTCAACTGCGCAACCCCTAAGCAGTCAAATATAAGCAGTCAATATAGCCCTAAGGAGTGAAATATGCAGGAATATTTGACTGCTTAGGTATAGCAAAAATCAATGGGAGTCAATACTAAGAGAGTGATAATGTCCACTAACATCACGATTTACTAAACTATCCTTTCTCTATTCTATAAATTTATCCTAGGCTCTCCATCCGAGTCCATTCGACAGAAGTTAGTTTGTGATTATCACGAGGGGATTTCCCCAGTGATGTTCTTACACAAGGAGATTGGAGAGTCGGCGCACTGCGGGCATGCCACTGGTGGTGGAGTTTGGCGGAAAGATGTCGCGCTGCTTGCCAAGCAATTGCAGTGTCGTGTTCACAAACGACTCCATGCTGGTAACGAGATCACTGGCCTAGGGTAAGCACACAGCAAGTAAAGAAGACAACAACTGCACACGGTGAGAGATGATCACGTATCAGTCAGATGGACTACAAGTACTGGTGTATCCCTCCCTATTAATATACATGTACCCCCCCCCCCCCCCCGCATAATATACATGTACCCCCCCCCCCCCCCGCATAATATACATGTACCCCCCCCCCCCCGCATAATACATGTACCCCCTCCCCCCGCATAATATACATGTACCCCCCCCCCCCCCCGCATAATATACATGTACCCCCCCCCCCCCCCGCATAATAGGCGCTGTGCACACAAGGCATTACGTCATGTTTTGGGCCTTGAAAAACCGCGGGAAAGCGTTTTGGGTGGCAGAGACCTGGCGCATGGCGTTGGCATTTATCCACGAGGTGAAATATGAAAGTAGGAAGCGGTATTTTGGTCTTTCGCCTGGTCTTTTCTTTCTTGTTGGCTGTTGCCTATGGACGCTCTGGACCATGTCTGCTGGTCTGGATGCTGACGACATGAGAGCTGTGTCCTCCCATAGCTTTGGACTCTACAGCAAGAAGTACTGCCGAGATGGAGAGGTGTGCCTGGAGAATGGGACGGTGTATTTCCGTGGGTTTTGCAAGGCAGAGATGAAGACGTCGATGCGGTATAAAATAGCAATGGCAATGAAACGCGAGCCCTCTGTACGGATCATCTATGCGTCTTGTGAGTGCCGAGCTGGCATTGGCCCATCAGCCAGCTGCAAGCACATCGGGGCCATGTGCTATGGACTAGAGGAATTCTGCCGACGAGGGGTATTCACTGGGATGACCTGCTCAACCAGTGACCTACAGGCTTGGAGCGCACCACCAGGCAAAAGGCGAGTTTCTGACATGGAGTTCGCTAAGCCTGTGTTCAACCATACCCCGAAGTCAACCTCCAGTCGTGCGTCCTTCGACCCACGTGCTGCCACCGCTCCAAAAGACTCTGCACCAGAAGAGCGACAGAGACTCTTTGACTTGTTGAGCTCTTGCTCCCAACCAGCCAATATCCTGGACACTCTGCGGCCATGCTCTACCTCTCCTGCTCAGACAACCACCTGCTCCACTGGATCAACCGACTGCCGGTCAGTGCCGGAGCTAGTGCAGCTGATGAAGGAGTCCAGGACGTACCGCAGCACATTCCGACCTGATGGCAGTGTTGTCGTGGCATGGTGTGATATGTTCATGCGTCATATGCAAGTGTCCAGGCAGCAACGCCATGCACTGGAGTATCGAACTCGTGGGCAGGCTGGTAACCGGCAGTGGAAAATGCAAAGGTATGTCTGAGGATAGTGTACTGCATTCAGTCCAGGAAAGTCTGCAGGCACATAACACTATCCAAAACATGACGGGTGTATACTGTTTTCATGCTTTTGTTGACGACTTTGTTTAGGCCATGACTTTACAACACTTTCAAGTATGTTCAAATTCACCCAACACTGCAGATTGGTTGGTTCATGTGTATGTCCCTCTGGTGTGTTCATTTCGTGCCCTATGCAACAGGTACGGGCGACTCACAGCATCCAACTTCGGTGTGATTGTGAAGTGCAAATCAGCACATCCGTCGTTGGTGAAACGCCTTCTATCCCAGTCAGTTATCAACAGTCCGGCCTTGTCGTGGGGCAGAGAGCATGAAGATGAAGCCGTCCGCATCTACTCGGAGAAGCAGCACATGTCTGGCAAGAATGGCCTGTGTGTCTCACAGCGTGGTCTTGTTGTCATGCAGTGTGGGTACGTTGCTGCCAGCCCAGATGGAATCGTATTCGTCCCGACCCAGCCGCTGACATCGCAAATGGGTTTACTTGAGGTCAAATGCCCATATTCCCCATCGTCACCACTCTCCCCAAGATGCATGCATGGAGTCTGGCTCCAACCCATTCTACTGCACATGGTCAGATGGAGGTTTATGCCTACGGCGACAACATGACTATTTCTATCAAGTGCAAGGTGGCATGGCAGTTGCTGAAGTGCAGTGGTGCGACTTTGTCGTGTGGACGCCAATGGGCATCGCTATACAGCGAATCCCATTCGACGCGGCGTTCTGGAAGGAGCAGATGGAGCCGAAATTGACCGGCTTCTACCGTGGTTGGCTGCTTCCGCAACTTCTTCACCCACAAGAAGAGCCCGTCTGCTACATGGATGTTGCCCCTGCCGACCCCACCCAGCTCAATGTGCCGCCGCCAGTGTCGTGTGCTCTACAAGATGCCGCCACCTCTCCAACGCAAGAGAAGGATAGCCCGCCACGACAGGTGTGCGCTGCAGAAGATGCTGCCAAGTCTCCAACGCAAGGAAATGTGGACCGGCAGCAACGTATGTCAACCGCCACAGGAGTCTCATCCTGCTGCCAAGGTTGTTCATTTGATCGAGCATTGGCATTGCGTCCGTGCAAAGTCTGTGCCCATCAGTTCCATCATACGTGCACGGATGATGACATGGGCAAAGTTTGCAGTTGCTGCTTGAGAGCTCATGGTGACGTCAGTCTTTGACGTGTTCATTGGCTGCCACCATTGCTACATGTATTTCCCCACCCTATGGAAGGTGGAGCTGTGGCAATGCATCCACATGAACGGCTACGCATGCATACGGTGTACATACTTATATTGTCAGTGTACATAATGTCTAGTGTTTTATTGCCAGTGTACAGAACATAAAAGTGGATACAGCCCCACGTCACACCATTTTTTTTACAACCATACGTGAACATAGCCCACTTTATTGCCGTACATGACAGCCACAAACATGCTTGTGATTTGTATGGTTGCTTCCATGATCCATTGAGTTACTTTCATAGAACGCACTTTTGTCACTTCATGCTGAAAAGCAAAGAGGAGAAATACAGGCAGTGATATTGCTATGGTGGTGACAGCAGTCACGTGTGGAAAATAACAACGGATGCATGGTGGGGGGTGGGGGAAGAGGCTCACAGAAGCAAACACTGGGACGGGCATCATGAACCTGTCAGTAACTGAACGCATTGAGCAGTAACGGTGCAGCAAGAAATGGAAGGAAGCTATGTAATGAGCTGCGCACCAAAATCGGCAACCACACAGCAAACCAGAAATATGGCATCAGCAATGTCAAAGTGAGCGGATAGAATAAAATCCAGGGTGTGAAAGTTCTTTATTCGTTCGATAGCACGTTCTACATGAACGCGTAGCGAGGCAACGCGGCGGGTCTGCACCAACTCCTTTTCGGTCAGCTGTTGGCCATTCTTGATGAACGGTGGTATGTTGACATAGGCACCCCGTTCTGAGGTAACAAGAAACAAGCAGCACAGTTTATAAGCTTCCAAGCAAAACTTGCTTACACCACCATTTCCAGCATTGACTGCACTACACATCTACTGTAAGGAGGAGTTCACAGCACTGATCGCAACCATACAGTATTGTTCACCAAAAGGAAACAAAACAGGGGACATACCTTCACAGAGTTCCTTGATTGTGAATCCCTTGTCCGCCATGTTTGAGTCACCTTTGTCCAGCAAATCCAGCACTCCACACGTCTTGGTGATTTCACGGTCAGAAACTGACCCACCATACAGGGAAGAGATGAACGAGATAGCTCCACTGGGTGTGATGCAAACTAGAGCTTTGAATGTGTTTCTATTCTTGTACGTTGACCAGGTGACTCTCTGAGTGTCGGGGTCGGAGGGAATCTGGATGGGGAACTCGGTGCAATCGATTATAGTGCGTGTGGTGGGGTATAGGTCGCGGAACTTCTGGGGCATAGCGGCATCGATCTACAGGTTAGTAGATAGAACATGGGCACATAGCACACACACACACCAATGGGACTCAATTCTCGAAAGACCAGATCAAGCACAGACACTGATGCGATCGTATGTAAGGTATACGTTAGGAAAAAAATAAACCAGCCCTATTGCAATCCAAAAGGCTGGACTCACTAACGACCAGTAATGGGTTAGGCTTCAGCTGTTGAGCCACGGGCATATCATCAACAGACATAAATCATTCTGGCATGACAACTAACCTGCGCTCTAGCCGGCCAGGCGGGTAGCTGTGCAGACTTGAAGGCGTGGTACATGACCATGAGGTACGAGGTGAAGATGCGGCTCACAGTACCTGCACTGATTGAAAACCTCTGAGCCAGGTCTTCGTTAGGACAATCCAGCCGCAACTTCATGAACGTAAGGAGCAGGCTGTTTTCATCGTCCAAGGCCCTCACACACTGACGTTGCCGTTCACCTATGCAGTGGGCACAGTACATTGAACCGAGACATGTATGACATGGCCCACGAAAAGAAGTTTGATTTGCCAGGAGGATGGAGACTCACAGCACTGAGTATGGAAATTATGGTACCGACACAAGTAGGTTCCGTACTACTGAAGTCATTCCACCCAACAACATTGCAAAGCACAGTATTTACATCATCAAAATCTAGCACAGAACAGATAACATCCTCACCTGTTCTTGCTCCATTCCATAAGGTCATCCCCTTGCAGTGGGGCTCCAGGAAAGCCACCAATGCCTGAAATTGCTCATAGCTGGGGATACCAGTATAGAACTTGGTGAGGCTGTCACTGTTGCAAATCCTGGCGACAGAAAACTCTGGTGCTGGTACTGTGGCAGTTTCCTCCAACTTGACTCGCAGTGCCTCATTCTCCTGTGTCAACTTCTGCACCTCCATCCGCAACCGTGTGTTCTCCTCCAAACATTCCTGGATCTGAGTTCGCACTTCACTGATCTGCTCATCAACGCTGGGTAGGGATGGTGATGGCTGCTCCTCACAAGTGCTTTCACATGTTTCAGGTTTCGCTGCTGACGCTTGGGGCGTTTTGTCCTGATGTGTCTTCAGGGCCACGCGTTCTTTTGGCGTTTTCCTCGTCTTCTCTGCTGCTGACCACGCGAACAGCGTTGGGATAGGATGCTCCTTGGAGCGCTTTCCGCCAACAAAATGAGCGCCGCAGACCATTGTCGAGCTGCCCACAACCACACTCGATGTCCGCATGTTGTGGAGCCACTTTTTGAGTGTAGGCTTCTTTCCCAGAGGAAGACGGTGAAAAGAAAGCTTTGTTCCATCTTTCCGCTTGCCACCCCGATTGGAGCAGCCAAAGACGCAGCAAGACTTCGTCATCGTGTCTAAACGACTACAACCACTTCCTCCACAGTCGACAGATAACCTGAACCTAACTAAACCAAAATGTAAGTTTGTTCTTTCTTCAAACAACGAAGCCCAAAAGGTTTTGCCACCCAATTTGAGCTTCCCGCGCGATGACGTAAACCAATGATGTCACTTGCCCTTGTGTGCACAACGCTTATTATGTACCCCCCCCCCCCCCGCATAATTTACATGTACCCCCACCCACCCATACCCTCCCCCCTTCCAGCCACGCGCGCTCACGCACCCTATACCGTACCTCGCTCTCACTGAGGCGAATGTTTTTCGCCTCCGCTTCTGCGTATTCTGCCGAGAGTACATCGATGCACTCAATGAGTCGTGAAAACTTGACACCGTGACGCTGCTGTGCCTCTGCTAAAACCTGCCATTCTCTAAACATCAAGAGAACACAGAACACAGAACACACAATGACACAACATTGGTATAAAAGGGGACAGTACAGAAAAAGGTTGGGTCGACATTGACATAATGTAGGAGACAGCGAAAGACAATGGGACGACATAGGACATAATGTAGGAGATAGCGAAAGACAATGGGACGACATTGATACAAACAAGACAGTACAGAAAGACAATGGGTCAACATGAACAGAAATGAGAGAGTACAGAGACACAATTAGAAGACATGAACATAAAGAAGACAGCACAGAAACATAATAGGACGACATTGACACAAAAAAGACCGTGTAGAAAGACAGTGGCAACATCGGCACAAAGAAGATAGTTTCGTACACAATCCAGGTTGCCTACTTCGAGGGAGGTTATATTTCCGGACCATGACTTGAAGGATGTCATGCTGGCACAGAATGATACCACAGTATGCACAGAGAAGTAAAGACCCTTTCGCCAGCAAATACTGACACACACAATGAGAGAGCAGTTGCAAATAGTCCACAAGTACACTCGGTATGTATATGGCATGCACGCACGCACACACATACACACACACACACACACACACACACACACACACACACACACACACACACACATATACACACACACACATATACACACACACACACACACATACACACGCACACACACACACACACACACACACACGCACACACACACGCACACACACACGCACACACACACACGCACGCACGCACGCACACACACACACACACACACACACACACACACACACACACACACACACACACACACACAAAGTGTTACTCACCTTGCCATATGTTGAACAGTATTGATACCCAGCTGTACTCGGAACAGTTCAAGAATGTCCGTTGGAACACGCGGCAGTCTCCCTCTCCACCGGAACACATTATTCTATCAGCACAACACATCCAGTTCACAACATTACCGTAAGACCAGATATTTTAACGTCAAATAAAGTTAACGATCTCCGGATTTTTGTGGGTTAGCGAGGTGAAATTCTAACGAATTCCGTCTCAAAACCGGCAAATGACTGTACAGGTACATATTGTTGTGTACATAACGACTTCTCGTTAACATTACTGGTCTTACAGTGTCAGTATGTCAAAGTTACGTCATAGCTCTACGCAGTGACATCATTCACCTACAGATGATGTCAGAGTTCCTGGAGAGTGCTGAATGTCGGATAGTGCACACATCCCAGTCCACTGCCTTGTCCACTTATCACGTGCACCTGAAGTAGGCTGTATGTTCTCTCCCCCCCCCCCCCCCCTATGTTCATGCTACCTGGTTTGGGCCACCAATTGCCTGATGATCACAAATAACGTGAAAACACGGAGTTGCGACATTGCGTTCGTCCTCTCTCTCTCTCTCTCTCTCTCTCTCTCTCTCTCTCTCTCTCTCTCTCTCTCTCTCTCTCTCTCTCTCTCTCGCTCTCTCGCTCTCTCGCTCTCTCGCTCTCTCGCTCTCTCTCTCTCTCTCTCTCTCTCTCTCTCTCTCTCTCTCTCTCTCTCTCTCTCTCTCTCTCTCTCTCTCTCTCTCTCTCTCTCTCTCTACTGACTGTGTACAAGTGGTGTAACACAAGCAGTGTGTGTGTGTGTGTGAGCGCGCGTGTGTGTGAGCGCGTGTGTGTGTGTGTGTGCACGTGTCCATGCTCATGCGCATGGGAGTGCAAACCCGTCGTCTAGGACAGAGCACATATACGACTGTCGGGGCCTGGCACGGCTTTAAATCCACAAATCATCCCCTTCGTGCAGGAAAGTGCGAGCGGATAACATCGCAATGACATCGTGCACAAACCGTTTAGGAAAGACGTAAGAAATACAACGAGCAGAGCAACAGTGTACCTGTTGCAGTCGATAAACTTCATGCCGTACAAAGTCCCAGTAGAGGACTTCATAGACTTTCAGCGGTGACCAAGCTGGATCAACACGTTCAGAATCCTGAGAGAACACACACACACACACGCACACACACACACACACACACACACACACACACACACACGCGCACACGCACAGACACACGTGATTTGAACGACGTGCCAAGATCGACACATCAATTACGAATGCCAGTGAGACAACATCACAGACGTGTGCGCCCAAGCTGCTGAAGCAATGTATGATCAACACCAGCACAAACTCAACATTAGAAATAATCCTGGTTTCTGGTGAACACTATTTTTTTTAAATGTAACGTATGCAGCAAAGAGACCATGTTTTTGAAGGTTTGAGTTGAGGTGCCCTAATGAGTACGATTTCTAGTACTGCGGTGATAACTGCCGTCCGGAGGTTCCAAGCACTGTGCTTACACGCAACAATGCCTGGCATCCAGCATAGTAGTTCACGTACATACTGTAAACATGGACCAGCAGCGCCCCGCGGCTGCAAGGCCAGCGTCCCGTGGCTGCTTGACGTCTCAGTGGATTTCAACGTCCGCTACAGTACGAGAGTGTTCTGTGTTCTTACCTGGACGCTATCTCGAATGAATGACATGCCAAGGCGTAGTGAACCGTTAACAGACTTGCTGCGCTTCGACTCCAGCGGAAACCAGGTATCCACCCCACCTTGATGGATAGACTGAAACAAAAGACAAGAAAGAGAACAAAAATCCTTTATTCTTGGTGTTACAATTGCCGTACAATTTGTAAAGTAAAATGAGAGAGAGAGAGACCTGGCAACCGTGACAAATTCCAGCGAGAGTAGATGATGCAGAGCCTATACCTCGCAAACATACCTCTAACGGCACGTAACAGCGTCCCATGAAATCATCCTTTGTCCCTGTGGTGACCACCTCCGCAAGATTCTGGAAAAACCTGCAGGCGAAACAGTGAAATGGAAACCCGAAAAAAAAGGTGTACGCTTGAAGCGAGTCATGGCAGCTGTGTTGTAGGCTTATAAGCAGAAATTTAGCTGGCGGATAACTCTGGCCACCTTGAGAAAAAGACAGTTTCTCTGGTTGAAATATCCGCCCACAGAAGTTGAACATACGGAAAGGATACACAACTCGACTTTTAGTCTTGCATAAATTAATCTGAAACTAGTGGGACGAAGACGATGAAATAGAATTCCAGATGAAAATTTCTGCTTGCCCAGGACAAGGAAAGAGAGAGAGACACACACACACGCACGCACGCACACACACACGCACACACACGTACTACTACTACTATGTACAACTGCCACAAAATGGCCACGTCGCTCCCAGAAGCGGGAGACAACAGCGAGAAAAAAGAAACAAGGAGAATAATTGAGGTGAAAGGGGACCGTTCTACACATAGCTAGTGTTTCTGTCTTCGGTGGCGGGTGAGGTCCTGCGGGCGGGAGAATCGTTCGTTACATATGCTGCATTGAATGGGCAGATTAGTCCTCTGGTCCTTTCGCAGTCGTTTGCCTCGAGTACAATTATGGCGGTTAAAACCAGCCTGACTCTTCATGCAGCGATCACAGATCGAGCAATGGTGCTGGCAGCAGTCCAAATTCAGGCTGCATCTCGTTGAAACAGCTGGTATTTCGTCCGATGTCTGACGCTCCACACAACGATGAACTGCAAAACCGCCAGCGCTTTGAAACCAGCGGTCACAAACTCCACAGTACACACACGCACACACACACATGCACACACACACACATGCACACACACGCACGCACGCACGCACGCACACACACACGCACACACACACACACACACACGCACACACACACACACACACACGCACACACACACACACACACACGCACACACACACACACACACACACACACACACACACACACGCACACACACACACGCACACACACACACACACACGCACACACACACACACACACACACACACACACACACACGCACACACACACACACACACACACACACACACACACACACACGCACACACACACACACGCACACACACACACACACACAATGCCATGCAGATCTACAGTACTACTGTCGGTTGCCGAAGAACTGGGAAGTCAGCCTCGTAGCCGAGGCCGTTCTTATTTTCATGCATTAGGCCATCATTTTTTATAGCTATGTTTCGCGTCGTCCGCACGCATACGTTTTGACTTTTTTCGGAAAAAAATAAAAAATCGAACATGCACAGTGAGTGTACGATCGTGCGAGTCATCAGTGTGGACTGGTTGCGATACGGCGAACCTGGGATTCAGAAATGGCCTCTACATTTTTTGTAGGCCAGCGTTCGTAAATCGTTTGTTCGGCATCTGGGAGCAATATTCTATGAGCTTACACCAGACCGCATTGATCGCCTCAAGCTGAGAGGATGCGTCATTCCGGAGCTCTTTGCACCGCTGGTGAAGTCTCAGTACAATAATCCAGCGAAGCATGGGCACCAACGGTTGCCTCCTCTGTCCAAAGTGAATATTTACTCATGCTGATAACCCAGATGTTGTGCTTCGATGTACGATTTTTCTCTCGAATGTACATCATGCACGAGCTATTGTGCTATGTACAGTGCATACACCTCTGATGAGCCTTTTTTATTATTTTGCAACTTTTTATTTTTTTCCACCTCTCGCATATGATTCTGGAAGTTGAACTGACGCGAAACATAGATATAAAAAATGATGGCCTTACAGTCTGTGTGCACAGTTGAGTCACCGTGTATACATGGGTATGCTGTACAGTCTATGCACAGTTCAGTCACCGTGTATACATGGGTATGCTGTACAGTCTATGCACAGTTGAGTCACCGTGTATACATGGGTATGCTGTACAGTCTATGCACAGTTGAGTCACCGTGTATACATGGGTATGCTGTACAGTCTATGCACAGTTGAGTCACCGTGTATACATGGGTATGCTGTACAGTCTATGCATAGTTGAGTCACCGTGTATACATGGGTATGCTGTGCTTGGTGAAATCCTAGCCTGTTCGTTCTTCTTCGCCACTACGTTGTTCAGCACTCCGTTCTTCCAGTTCAGTGCTCCGTGCTACGGCACCGGACAGCACTGTAGCAGCATTGAGAGCTTACTTTCCCACGCCTCGAATGCCTTTAACGCTGGAGCCTCTCTTGATTGCGTCGCCCACCGAGTCGTCATCGTCGCGATCCCTGCAGTGCAATCACCAACAATATCATCACTACGCCAACAAAACATTCATCAATACATCACCATGGGAACAGAACATTCATCAATACATCACCATGGGAACAGAACATTAATCAAATACATCACCATGGGAACCGAACATTCATCAATACATCACCATGGGAACAGAACAGTCTCGGGGTGCACTGACATAGCAACAGTAACATCACTTCGGACACACTCTAATCATGGTAAGTCCACAAAAACGCAAAAATGAAACTTGAGACAAGGGCAAGAGTTGGTTTCTATGCCCTTTCCAATTCTCTATGGATATGATCATACGCAATCTCCACCTCCACCACAAGCAGAGCTCTCACCCTCACCAACACCAGCAGTGGCAGCACCACCACCACCACCACACCAGCAGCAGCAGCAGCAACAGCAGCAACAGAAGCAGCAGCAACAGCAGCAGCAGCACCAGCACCACCACCAGCAGCACCACCCCCACCCCAGAAGAAGCAGCAGCAGCAGCAGTGGTGACAGCATCGCCCTCACCCGCAGCACTAGCAGGCAGCATCATTACTTACCATAGATCTACCTGCAAATACATATTCTTCAGGTCGGTGACAGGGCTGTGCACATGAACAGAGAACACACCCAAACACAAGTGACCCTAGATGAGCAGTTCTGAAGTTTGACTGTGGCATACGTAACAGAAAAACAGGCCACACAAGTCACCGAGCAATGGACTTTGCATGAAACTCCAGTACAGTGCTGTATTTTTCTTGAACTGGGCCAGTCTTTTACTATCGGCCGGCTGAAACAAGCGCACCGTTTATGTCGGGGGTTGTGGGTGGGTTTTTTCAAATTGGGTGAGGTTCTAGGGCCCACCAACTACATGTACCAAGCACCTCGTCCAGTATTGCCAGAAGTACGGCACGTGCCCAAACATGCACACCAAACGCTTTAGCAAAGTGTCGGCATTTCGCCATCATCATCAGGTCAAAGAGTTTCTGTGCTCTTACAAGTCAAACGCTTCGTTCCATTCCGGTGACAGTGTTTTCGGCTGCACAGTGGTGCTCACCACGTTGTCTGTCATCTCGGTCACCATCTTCAGCTTCTTGTTATCCGAGCGCCGATCCTTCAGCTCCTCGCTGAGATGCACAAGGCCCAGAGTGCAATAGGGATCGCTAAGACCTACAGGGCAGCAACAACAGCAACAAGCAGAGCACACACACACAAGCACGCACATACGCGGACACACGCGCGCGCGCACACACACACACGCGCGCGCGCGCGCGCACACACACACACACACACACATGCACCCACACATGAACACGTGCATGCACACAAAAATGAATACGGGAGCAGAATTTCTCTGTTGTAGCTTCAGGACTACCAAGAGTCTGACCTCGTGGGTAAATTACTGAACAGCTGCACATTCCCTTCCCCATACATGCACTCTCACGCACGCGCACTGGCACACACGCGGGTGCGCACACTCGCACACAAGCGCACGCCCACACACACACACACGTACACACACACACACACACACACACACACACACACAGGTTACCATTCTCATCCATGCTATCGAGGTCTTGACCAGCGACTACATTGACACGAACATGAAAGGCAGGTTTCTGCAGCAACAGACGGAATTACAAACAGACGCAAATACAGTGAAATGAGTGTTCAGCAGCCAACTCAACGTAACGACCTCTTTACAACTCGGGGACAATGTTAACTTTTACGCACGGAAACCTCTCCCTGCCCTACCCGTGGGTGGTGGAACTTTGCGATACATCGGGGGCAGCAAAGATGGCCACCACTTTTTTTGAGGGGCAAATTGTCCCATATTTGGCAGGTACAGCCAGTTGTAGTGCATTTGTGGGTGTGATCTGGCTGTGCAGCTTATGGCCTTTTATGCAGGATTGGTATCACAGTGTGTACCGTTTTAGTGGACATGCCCATCAAGATCAAATAGCGGACGAACTTTAGGCATAAACCCTATATAAACCCAATTAGAAGCTTGCTGTCTGCTTGTATTGTGAACATTGTGGTATTAGAGTCAATTTGCAAAAAAACTCGCAGATCAGCCAGGGCATATATTTTAAAAAAAAGTATCAGTTAGACTGAGTATAACGTTCCATAGGAACGCCACCACCCTCAAGGATCAAAGGCACAGATGCAGCAGGCATATACCGTATTATCTCTAATATAAGCACAGTCTCCAATAATAGAACACCTTGGGGCAGCATTCAAAAAATAAAGTGCTCAGTCTCCATTATAAGCACACTGTGTAAATTCATTATCTGTACCGGCGAAAAAACCCTGAAATGGGTGTGTCTGACATGAATTTGGCATGGCAACAAGCCTCTGAAATGAGGTTGAAATAATAAGGGAACAGTCTCCAATAAAGGAACGTCTCCAATAATAGCACGGGGCGGAGGTACATTGAAAAAATAAAGGACCGTGCTTATAATAGAGATAATACGGTATACAACTCGTAACCTATATCTGGAAAGGACAATTCCATCTTTACAGCGTTCAAACCAATTACATCTATTAGTGAGAGTAGGGCCGAAACGATTATACCGATTACTCGTATATCTCTCGTTATGGATGAAATCGATAATCGTTATGATCGATAACGATTATGACTGTACAGTGCGAGAGCGGTCACGACGTCAGCACATGCAGATGATGCATGGCATCATGCATACGCGTCATATCATGCGCACAGGTACATGATGAACGTCAAAGTACACGTGCATGAAGCCGTAGGTCCGTACAATTATTGCGGGCTTTATCATTTTTGGGTACTCGTCGTCGTACATTCCGTGCTGAGCTGCCGACATCATACTCCGCGCACGTTCACTGCACTAGTCAGCGTAGCCGGAAAGTGTGACAACTGGAAAGCTTCATAATTTTAAGTTGTAGCGAAACTGTGAATTTGTTCAGTTCTTGTCAAAAAGTGTTATTTTTCTTTGGCTGAGCGTAGCGAATGAAACGAAAAATGTATTTTTGCCAGCATTTTCACCATAGTTACGGCACCAGGATTACGTCAGCTGGTTTTCGTCAGTGTTCTCAAACTTTTCTGTTCATCGTGGTCTTTCTCTTTTCGTTGTAGTTTCCCACCCGCCCTCCCCTTTATTCTCACTTCTGGATAGGTCCTGCAGGCTACGTTTTTCATTTATCTGATGGGGATATTCTAACCGTTTTTTCCTCATAGTCCATCAGCCAGTGGTGCCAAAGTGAGTCCCCTGTTGCACTTACAAATCGAACACCTGGAACTGACATCAATCGACAGCAAAAGCATCACTGAATCCGACCTGCCTACTTTCCCTGGCGAAACTCTTGCACTCCTTTTGCAGTGCGTCTTGGAAGTTCGACAAATTTCTTCTTCTTCATCAGCCATTACGAGGTTTTTCATCCGTTTTATCATGACATCCAATGCGTCTTCAGTGAAAAACGTGGAGTTTTGTCAACGTTTGGTGTGGTTTTCCGTGGCGATCGACCTAAAATCGCGAAATAAATCGCCGTCGATTTGAGCAGAGGTGAGTTGGCTTGGAGCACGTACAGATTCAAAAAATATGTGTACATGCGCACCGGGAAGAAGATGAAGATGCTCACCATTTTCAAATAACTAATTCAAAAAACTACATGACTATTGTACTGCAATTGTTGTAGTTACTTGTTTGCAACTACAATGGTATCAAGTAGATAATCAAGCGAGGTACAGAGGGATTGATGGCTGATCAAAGCCCAAGGGACCAGCCCGAGAGCTTTGATCAGTCATCCAGCCCGACTGTACCTCGCTTGAATATGCTTCAGACGATCCCCAACAATTTTTTGGATTTTGAATTCAATCGCTTTATTCTTTGGGTGATCTCGAGTGTGGTAGATAGTACTTCGAAGTAGTACAACTGTAACTGTACTACTACCTGGTTGCAACATGTTCAAAGCAGCCTTGCCTTTATTTCAACTGTTTGCTGTCAGCATCCAGATCAGAGCCATGGCGTTTGCTAGTTGGTCGTAATGGAGAAGAAAACTGCAGGGCATTCACTCGATGTACAACATCCATCGCCGCAGATTCCTTACTTTTAGCTCTCCACGTTCCTTATTTTTCCAGGGATCAGGACCTTCCCGGGGTGATTCCTTCAGGGTGGAAGCGTAGATCACTTTTGCCAAACAGTAAAAACTACGCTTCAAACCTGCTTGACATGACTCGGGGTGCATACTTCGGAAACCCGAAGGTGGATGATGTTCAATACTAGCTCATTGTAATCTTCCTGAAGGTATGTATTCGGATGCTCAATTAAATATAACAGTGAAAGAGATGTGTAATGGGACAACACTCTACAAGTAGGCGAACAACAATTTTATTGTAATTTGAATCCAGGCACACGTGTAATACGGAAACTGCAATGGTTTACACTGCAAATCTTCTCGATTTGCAAGATTTTTCCCGTAATTCACAAAAATCTGAAAGTTCATTCCTGAAACGCGCATGGCACTGATTGGAGATTGGGTTTAGGTCACAACAATGGCTGTCGATGAAATGCCAAAAATGGTCACTTTGTCGGCTTCCCGCTGCAGAGCGTGCAAGTCGTTTACTCTTTTTATTTGCGGATTCGGTGTACAGGGTACCTAAACTCCCCATTGAGGCCAAAATCAAGTATTCGATTTCTAAGTGCAACAGGGTGCTTGAATTTGACGACTTCTGAGTTCTTGGCTGATGGAATATCAGGGATGTGCCTCCGCCGGGTTCCTGGTTTTTTTTCCGCCAGCTTCGGTTAACCTTTATGTACGGTGTGTACGTGAATCATCACATATGATCACATATGATCGATTCATGATCGATCCGTAAAACCTTCGTAACTCCATCATTTCTTGTCCGAATTAAACAATCGAAAGGTCTATTTGGTAGCGGAAACTCCAAGCTTTTCAATGCAACAATCGCCGAAAAGCTACGATGTACGAATCCAGAGATATTGCGCACCGTATTCTTGTCTCGGCAAATTCAATTTTTTTATCGATCTCTTCGCCATTTTAGGGGAAAATCCCTTTTCGTGTGCTCTTTGACCAACTCACCACAATCATGATAGTGACGTAGTTTGCTGAAGTTTGAATCGCCTCGAAAAGATTTGAGCGTTCTGCGATAGACGAGAGTGGATTGGCGGTGATGGGGAAATTTGTTCGCATATTGGGCTTGGATACGACTTTGCTGTGTTCCTGCGCCTGATTTGTGGCAGCTAGTTGATGGAGCCTGGTATCCTGGCGTTGCTCTTGCCAGGAGCTTTCCAAAGAGCCCAAGATTGTGGAAAAGGAGTGAAGGAGGCCAAAGTTATAGCCTGTTGAAGGTGAAAAATGTGCTGAAAATTCAAATTCTGCTTCATTCTGTGCTGGAAATCAGTACATTAAGGGTTAATTATCCGGCGGCCCCATTCACCACAGTGGTTCACTTTTTGCATCATGTTGGTCTGGTACATACGTGTACATGTATATGTGTGAGGTGGCATGCCCTTCTTCTTGCTCATGTATACACTATGCTAAGCTCTTCCATCTTCCACCGTGAGTGAACAAAGACCACACTACTACGACAACGCAAGAATGACCAGTTGCGCCAGGGCGATGTGGTCATGGCGAGCCGGCTGAAGCAGCAGGCTACTACACCATGTCCTGTGTCGGTCATAGAGGGTTTCTTGGAGAGAGCACGGCATGTACCCACTCAACCTCTCTTTGGCAAGGTCTCCGCAGCAACCCACCAGTCATGTCTGCGGGGAAAGATGACATACGCCCGGGCGCACGAATTGATCCACACGGCTCTCGCCCGCGTAGGTGAAGACCCCACAGGGTATGGCACGCACAGTCTCCGCTCGGGGGGAGCGAAGGCAGCGGCCAATGCTGGCGTGCCAGAGCGCCTTCTTTAGCGGCAGGGGGGTTGGAAGTCATCCACATGTAAGAACATGTATGTGTAGGATTCCCTCAAGGACATGCTGTCGGTGTCTCGCGCTACACTGCACCAGTGACTATCGGGTCGGCAATCCTTTCCGTCGTGAGTGAACAAAGACCACACTACTACTGTGATCTGTATCTTTCTGTTGTGTGTGGGTGTGTCTGCGGCGTACGCAGAGGCCAGCTAGCTGGCAAAAACGTACAGTTAGTTTTGATTTGTTGGCGAGGAGAGCAGTGACACTGCTGCCGCCTGTAAAAGCGAAAGTTAGTCGAACCAAGAGATCGCCAGTTTGGGCATGCTTCGAGGAAGCTGGTAGCGAAGCGAGATGCAATTTGTGCAGCCGTGAGTTCGTCCGTCAAAGCGGCACAACCAACTTGTTCCAGCACCTGATTTCTGCTCACAAAGACCAGTACACCGCTGTGGTAGGGAAAGGACCAGCAACCCAGTCGACAGCAACGACGACTACCAGCAATGTTGAGCGCAGTGACAATGCGACGACCAGTGCTGGAACGAAGCCCGTCACGTCGTTCTTCGGCACAGGTAACTTGCGAACGTGCGACAGCAGGCGCTCAGGCATGTTGACGGAGTCGATCATCGACTGGATTGTCGATTCCAGTCGACCCTTCTCCATTGTAGAAGACAGAGGACTGATTGTTGATGCCTAATGGCAGAGGAACATTGCTCATATCACGTTGCAAATTTCATTTTGGTCTTTTTTGGGCCTGTGTACATGTGTGGATCTTTCACCCGTACGTACCTGTACATAGTTGAACAAATTTTAAATTGTTTTTGCCGTATACTAATTTCCAACAGGACACGTATAAAACTTGTTCGGAAAATCGGTAAAACCAATAAATCGATCGTTAGTGTTATTGGTTAATCGTTAAGGCAAAATGGGCAATCGTTTCGGCCCTAGTTCTAGCCGTATGGCTAGACGAGAAGGCAGAAATGCCCGTGTACCTGGTGAAGTTAAAAGTAAAATGAAATAAAATAAATCAGCACACGAAGCACAGAAGCCATAATAGTTTCGACAAGGCCTTTCGTACCATTACATTTCAAGTCGAATACAATGGTGATATGGTACGAAAGGCCCAGTCGAAACTATAATGGCTTCTGTGCTTCGCCTGCTGATTTGCTTTCCTCCAACCAAGAATCTATTTGAACAAACAAAACAAACTAATTCACGACAAAACTCAACGTAGAAAGTAGTCAAAGCCAAGCGGAGAGAATAACTAACCTCTTCTGCTTGCTCTTTACCAAAACAGTTTCTGGTGTTTCTCAGTGCACCTCCCCCCCCCCCCCCCCCCCCACTCTTACAGTGCGCAAACCAATTCACGACAGAACTCAGCGTAGAAAGTAGTACACGCCAAGATTAGAGGAAAACTACCGTATGTTTCCGGTTGTAAGTCGACCTTTTACGGCTAAAAATAGAAGGAGAAAGGGTGGGGGTCGACTTACAACCGGGATTCGACATATAACCGAGAACTATCAGTGTCTTTTTTTTAAATGACCTGCACCGCATGCACGAGTGCACCATGTGTTCACATTTTGCCAGTTTAGTGGCCTTTTTCAAGGATTGGGACGCTATACCCTCTAATAAGGAATATTTACGTGATTTGTTAAAATGTGTTAGTACATGTAGCAGGGAGAGTTAGTAGTGCTTCGTTGGGTGATAACTTTAAAAACAGAATTGAGACCTCCGGATATGGGGGTCGACCTATAACCGGGGTCGACTTACAACCGGTAAAATACGGTACTAACCTCCGCTGCTTGCTCTTTGCCAAACAGTTCCTGGTGTTTGTCAGAGCCCACTCTGTACACATCTTGCAAGTGTGCGTACATGTCGGACGAGGCCACGGCGTTAGAAGTATCAGACGCACCTACACGGTTCACGATGACGCGAAGTGCCTCGCGGTACACCACTTCCAGCTGTGGATCAGAAGAACAGTGGACAGGCATGCATGAACACAACAAGAATATGTACATGCACGGACAGACAGACAGACAGACAGACAGACAGACAGAAACACGCACACACACACACACACATGCGCGCACATGCACACTTGCTAGATCTGTGATTTTTCGGCACACAACACAGATACGGTGGAAATTACAAAGCCCAACAGTTACATGGAAACACAGCTAAAAGTGCTTACAAAGAAATCACTAAAGAAATCACTATAATAATAGTATGCTGATTATACGGCACATCCCGTTACAGCGAGTGGAGTCCTCTGTTCCGATAGAGCGATCAGCCGATCACTGCTCACAGCAGCTGATACACACTGTATACATAGGGTAGTGTATAGTGTTTGCCGCAGCATTGTCTCTCTCCGTACTGTCTCTCTCCGTACTGTCTCTCTACGTACTGTCTCTCTACGCATTGTCTCTCTACGTACTGTCTCTGTCTCTCTACGTACTGTCTCTCTCCGTATTGTCTCTCTATGTACTGTCTCTCTCCGTACTGTCTCTCTCCGTACTGACTCTCTCCGTACTGTCTCTCTCCGTACTGTCTCTCTCCGTATTGTCTCTCTCCGTATTGTCTCTCTCCGTACTGTCTCTCTCCGTATTGTCTCTCTCTCCGTACTGTCTCTCTCATCTGTATAATCATGCGCATGCTATAGTCTGTTTCAAAAAGATTTACAATCAAGTTTGGGTCTTAAAAAGTATGAAGATAAAGGAAAATTGGACAACAAAGTACATAGAATTGCTTGTTAGGACACGGCAAATTGTTCTGTGAAGGTTTCGGAACAATTGGACCAACCGTTAAGGAGTTAGAATTTCGGCCAGGTTTCCGGCCTTTTCCCATGGTTTACAATTTGCCCAGGAAGCCAGTATCGATTTTTTATCAAAACCCACGATTTATCCTTTCCTTTTTGGCCTTGCGGTTATGAATGCTGTTTGCTGACCATGAAGTTGTGAGTTCAAATCCCAACCTATCCTCAAGTCAAACTTTTTTTTCATTGTTTTGGTGATCAAGCTGGGACAAGACAAAGAAGATGGCCGCACCAAACGACTTGTTGTTGGAGCTCGCGCTTCCTGCCGAACTGACTGCCACTTGACTGGCTCGCGCCATGTGAACACACCCACAACACTACAATAGGGCTTGAAAGTGCTACGTCACAGCATAGCAACAATTTCAAAAATTCAAAAACTGGATCCACTTGGATCCAGTTTTTGTATGGATCCAAGCACATTTCAAGCGGTCTTACCCACAGCATGGTGATGTAGCGAGTGAAACTGACTGATTTGGCTACTGGGGGCGGGGTTACGACTGGTGGCGAAATAGAAGTCACACCTGCATGCGACATGAGTGGGTTGCTATGCACCCACATACTTAGGCAATAGCAAAGTCACACCTTAGTGGATCCAAAAATAGAAATCTGATGTCAACTTACTACTCCCTGGCCGTTTTGACGTCATCACTTTCAAGCCCTATGGTGTGAGTGAATTATATTGGTAGTCATCGCGCTGTAGCTTTTTGAGATTTATTTTAGTATTTCAAGATCGCCAATTTATTTGAATTTAGCAGTCAACGCAGTCTTCTATCAGCGTTCACAAGCGTCTGCTTTTCTCAAAATGTCATCGAAGCCACACGGATAGCTTTGCCAAGTCATGGCCTTGGGAATGAGTCCGTGTCGATGTCGTTTTCGTTACACGGTGAGTAAATTGCATCGCAGCTAAAAGGAACTATTTTGGTCACAAAACGAATTGGGACCCATGCCGCTCGTCAACATTTACAACACTTTCGTTTCGACATGTCCTCTCTGACTCCATTATCGATACGAGGAAGAACTCGTTTGTTGTAAAACAGACATACATGACTGTACGTGTACGTGTATCAACGTGAGTGAGTTGTCATTTTTCCTGCTTTCGCGCGGAATATTTCTTCGAGTTCACAGTGAGTTTTTCCAGGCAGCGCTCGAGTGCTCATACGGTAAGACGCCAAACTCCGCGGGCGATCGCCAGGATTGCAAATCTTTTTGAAACGGACTGTAGATGCAAATCGGGGAGTCGTAAATACCGCACGGTATTTTACGACTCCCTGATGCAAATAAGTCAGTGCTTGTCTGTTGATGCAATGGACTCCTGCGTGGCTTGCAGACCTATTATTACACAATAGAATAACAATAATATTCGCGGGATCCGCGTTAGCAATAGCATCACTTGAATGTTCAGAAACACACAAGCTATAGCCTTCGCTTCCGCAGGCCACTACTATACCACCACTATTAGTGAGGTTCCGGGGTACGATTTTCCGTGCCAAAATCCGTGTGGGCGCTACGGATTTTTTCCAGGCGTGCTCCATACGATTTTTCGGCACGGAGAATCCGTGTGGACTGGCTTTCACACAAACCATGTTTCGTATGGAGATTTTGCGTCATCGGGTGCAGAAAGATTTTTCGCGTACAAATTTGGTACGAGAAACATGAATTTTCCGCGGGAAGTTTTGATTTCGGTACAAATTTTCAAAATAAAAAGGCATAGCGCGGGAATGTGACGTGTTTGGGATCGTAACCTAGGCAATGACGGCAAACACATAAGTTCCGTACTCCGGAACATTTCACTGCTCGAAAGCGACGTATAAAAAATCCGTAGCGCCTCTACGGATTTTGGCACGAAAAATCGTACTCCGGAACCTCCCTATTACTACACAAAGCACCCCAAATAAGCATTTCTGCTGACTCAGTACCATGACATCATCAATGCCATTATCATCATAACCACTACAGAACATAGTGGGTACTGTACAACTGCTTACGGCATGGCCGGAAACAGACGGTTCGTCTCTGGGATTCCTGGACAGGTCGCTGTCTGGTACATCTTCCTCACCGTCGTCCTCCTCCTCATCCTCTGCATCTACACCAGCGGTGGTGCCCTCAGACTTCTCCGCCTTGGCATTGGCACGGGCGTACGCACGGCGTAGGTTGAGTAGCGGTGCAGCCGCCTGTACGCTCTCCGATCTTTCTTGCTGCAAAAGTATAGACACAACGGCATACAAGGAGATTACGTCACGTCACTACAGCCGTCCGTGCTGGCAACTTCAATCAAACACATAATTTATATGCACATGCAGATGCGCACACACAAACACGTGCGGGCATGTGCACACGCGTGCACCATTGACCATTAGACGCCCATCGCCAGAGGCGATGATAGCGATGCTACAGCAGAAGCCATAACGACGTGTGCTGGACTTGGACTATTCAACAGCTCGCAAGGCTGAAGCATTGACCGCCACTATTCAGCCTGGTCTCCACCACACACACACACACAGGCACAAACACACACGCACCTTTCGCCGTTTCGTCTGCAGCTCCTCCTCCTGAATCTTGCTAGCAAGGTCCTCGAAATATGGTCCAATCTCAGATCCATTGCCAACCCTGCAATCAACACACAAAACAAAACAGTTCTTTCTTTCAGCACATAGAGCTCTAGAACGAAGGAGGAGGGTCTGTGTGTGTGTGTGTGGGGGGGGGGGGGGCATGCGTGTGTTTGTGTGTGTGTGTGGGCGCACGTGTGTGCTTGTGCGTGCATGTGTGTATGTGCCTGTCCAATAGCAAGGGTTTGACCGACTCGTGACCAAACAAGGCTAGGCAGACGGTAAACCGAACGCAAGGTCCGTGGCAAGTCCAATTGTCACGCTCATACCATCGCCAACCAACAGTGGATTGAAACGGGTAAGAGAATATTATAGATACTAGACTAGTAGAGGGGTTAAGATGCACGTTATTTTCCGACGCGACACGCAGTTTCACGTCAAATTTGGCGTAAAAGTCCAAATTTCGACGCGAGGTGCAGTCACACGCGTTCATTTTCAATGCGCGATCCAAATATTACGAGCTGAACTTTCGCATCACGTCGGAAATAACGTCCATCCTCTCTAGTATCTGGAATTTACTTTCTGCTACTCACAACTACAGAGCTGCTCAGTGAAATCCAGTCGCGTCAGCTTGCATCATTTCGCAGCCCAGTGGTTGCAGATCTAGGCGTCTGCAACGCCCGGCGAGTACTCGGGTGACGCGACTGGATTTCATAGAGCAGCACTGTGCATGCTTGCTATATGTATGTAGCATGCGTTGAGAGAGTGTAAACAGAAGTTAAAGATGACCGTTGCCAGAATCAGAATTATCACAAGTGGGGCAACAGAAACAAACATAATGGCAACTACATTCTTGTTCTTGCAGCACCCAGGGAAAACACAGGCCGCAGAAAGTGTTTGCATACATGTGGCGTGTGTGTGTGTGTGTGTGCGCGCGCGCGCGCGTGTGTGCATGTGTGTGTTTGTGTGTGTGTGTGTGTGTGTGTGTGTGTGTGTGTGTGCGTGTGAGTGTGTGTGTGTGTGCGCGCGTGCGTGTGTGTGTGTGTGTGTGTGTGCGTGTGTGTGTCTTCAGCCTTGCCAAGGTGTTGAATGGTGCAATCCCAGCACAAGTTGCTATGGATTCTGCTGTAGCATCGTTATCACCGCCTCTGGCGATGGGCGTCAAATGGTCAATGGTATGCGTGTGTGTGGGGGGGGGGGGGGGGGAGGGGAGTGAGAGAGAACACACTTACTTTGGCTCCAAGACATTGTTTTTACTACAGCATGGTTGGAAATGGACAGAGGAAGAAGAAAAAAACAATACAACATTGGAGAAAGTGACAAAGCATGCAAAACGTTCAACAGCTCTGGTACCCTATGACTATGAGTATACAATGATCGTAACACTAAGAAAGAACAGTTACAATTACATAGACACACACAGACACACGGAACCCATGACGTCACATCCTATTTCCAAATAATTAATTCCAACATTATGGATTCGCCCATTCAAGATGCTGGACCACCCATTCAACAATCCCGAACAATTTAATCCGAGGGCAGAGAGCAGAGGAAATGTCCGGAGTATATCACTGTGTTTATCCAAACCAGGAAAAGTCGTACGTACTCTGTTCCCTCCATCTGGCCACAGCTGTACAATGGGGTCTCTTAGGTAATAGAGGGACTGGAAATCATGAAACGAATCTGTTTCAAGCTTCTGGGGAAGTGGCCACTCGAGCCGAAAACTGCGAAAGGCTGGAAACCCGCTGCGCACTGTCATTAGAAATGAACGGATCCACTTGCACAAATAGCCATCCACGCTGTTCAATCAATCAATAATTGACCAGTCACGACATGAAAACGCAAACAACAAAGCCACATTCGATCGCCTCTATCATTCGAAATCGAAAGGGCACAAAAATTTCAATGTCCTCGAAAAAAGCGAAAGTTTTTTTTTTGAATGACATGACCACCACGTGGGTCAGAATGGCTGGACGTGACCCAGGCCAGTGATACGACTTCAGCGACTAGTTCTTGCTCAAACACACCTCACAGCGCATGACAAAATAAACGTCCTTGCAAAGGAAGCAGGTGCGTACTCACAGACGGCACGTCTCCATTCCTTCCAGGAAGGACCGTCTGCCCGGCGTTTTCCTGGCCCTGCTCCGGGTCGAAGCCAGTCGACGGCGGGTGGGCTCGGCCAGGGAAGGGGAGGACGCTTCGGCCATAACTACGCCGCTTGCTCATGCCCAGCCGTCAATGGCTTGGCACAAGGTTCGATACCAGCACGCCAGACCAAACCAAACTACCAACGCGGGAGGGGGACTAGTAAAAACATAGAAAGCAGCATTATTACTTGTGCAGAACTGCTCCAGTGAATGATAGAAACGGTTCTGAAAATTGCGGAAAAGCCTGTCAACAGGTCGGTACTGCCACTGGACGATAAATTAAATTTTATTGTTTTCTCCAGAGCCTAGTGAACAACTACAGCAGTATAGTAGTGTCGCTGCTGACACGAGCTGGCGTCAACGTCTCTGCTGTGGGACCCTGACCATTCGAGTGAAGCTACTACCGTGACGGCAGGAGCAAGGAGCGAAGAATAGTGCTTGCAATAAAAAAATTCCGCGCAGTGACAAATCCAGCACTCCAAACGTAAACAAGATTAGATTGCTATACCATTGACACCACACAACCTTCAGCCTTGACTCCAGCAAATCTTACCTTTCCACCAGGGCTGATTGGAGCAGGAGCGTACTGTCCTGGCCCTTTTGGCGCTGGCGATACTTCTCGAACGTAGCCATCACGACCAGCAGCCGTGCCGAACCTCCAACACCACCACTAGCCAGCACTACTCCACTACTATACTGTACTAGTCAACTCCAAGGACCAAGGAGAAAAAATTCTGCCACTGACAACACACGTTATATTTACAACGTTACGTACACTGGTGTACAAATACCGCGGTACGCGTTCAGCTGGACCTACAGACCTTCTCTGTTCTGTTCTGTACTTCGGCGGATGTGACAATTATTATTTCCTAGCAAGCAGCTTCGCACCATGCGTAACACCTGAGTCCTGAGCCAGCGCTGCATTCAGCTAGCACCGGTGAACCGACCGTCCCCTGGACTGTGTAGCTGTGTAGCTGTGTTGATGCCACAATCGACTCGTCCGTCGGACGCTTGCTTGGATGAAAGAGGACTTCCGCTACACGCTCAGTGAGACGGAGAGTGAGGGCTAGGGACAACCGTTGAAAAAGACGTTTCCAGCAACTACACTTGTAAACAGAACGCCAGGAGATAAGAGTCTCAGAGAGGCTGCAAAGCCTGCGATCCCTGTACGTACAGCTGTGGATGCCGATGAGGTCGAACGCAAAGGCGCAAAGGGCGAGCTAGCGCTGACATTATTATAATATTAGTGGCAGTGCACTGTCAGTGACAGTGCACTGCTACTAATAATAATATTAGTACTACATGTAGTGAGATCGAGAGAGAGAGCTGTCAGTACCCCGTGCTACATTTTGTTGTGGTGACAGATCTACAGTTTGTGGCGTAACTCGAACTAAAAAAGCACATGCGCCGATGAACAATGTCAATGATGAATGACTAAAAAGTCTAACAAAAGTCACTTGGCCTTTGGAAGCTGATTGTTTGGGGCGCACGTGAGTTTGATTTCCGTAGGGGGCCGGGCCCTGGGGGAGTCGGGGAACGCTCAACGACTCATGTCATGATCATGCCTCATGCCATGGTCCCGGCGCGGTGGCAGTTCATGAGTCCTCGGCCTCACTCAGGAGTCAGGACGGGTAGGGTGGATGCCGTGAGGACTGATGGAACCAGGCATCAACCCAATGATGGTGATGGTGACATGGTGTGAGAGAACCATACAAACCAGCAGGCATTATCAACAAGTAATTAGTTACGTCCAGTCATGTACAATAACATATCAACGAACGCGTGTTACTTTTTCTGCTGCCAATGCCAATGGCATTATGATAGTGTGGGTCGGCCACAATGGAATCATAAATAATTAATGATTGTGTTATTGTCTTATTGAATGTCTTTTTATGATTAAATTTAATTGAATGATTGATGTACATGTACATGTACATGTACATGTACATGTACATGTACATGTACATGTACATGTACATGTACATGACATTGTATTGTAGACCCGGAACTAGCTGGACGGGTCAGAATACTGAACTGAATAGCCTGGATGGCATGAACATGGCACTGTGTGAGCTCAGTAGGTCTAGGACTTGAAGTTAGTTGAAGGCATATCGAAGACGTCATGAGTCGCGTCACTACAGAAGTCACGGACGTGACATAACATTGACAAGTAACGCATGTTGACTATTGACTATTGTGTGAAGGAACTGTTGAAAGGTCGCAAGAAGCAAGACTAACCAAGACAAAGAGCGCGTTCGAATTGTCACTCTTTGGCTTTTCGAGGAGTTTCGTGTTTCTGAAGAGGTGGCTTATTGGCCTCTTCAGAAAGCAAAAGTCTCCTCGAAATTCCATAACCTCATCCGATGGGAGGGGTGGATTAGTTCCAAAGAGTTTGGAATATTCCCGCGGAGCTGGTCGATCGGATTGGACGTCATTATCACAATGATTCCACTGAAAACTCCAAAATGATAGAAACTGTTCCACAGGGACACTTCAACTAATCTCTTTGAAGAATGTGTTCGAAAAGTTGATGAAGACAATTCGAACGTACATGTACCCTAAGGGTGACATGCACAAAGACACAGACAAGGCCAGGGGTCACGGAATACAATCATGTACATGTACATATACATTAATTGTGTACATCATTTATTATTATTATATTAGAAAGGAAAAGGACATAATGGAAACGAGTTAAGAGTAACTCTCCACCACTGTAACTAGATACTATATACAGTCAGAAAGTGCAACAACTAGGCACAAAACTGACGGAGTACTGAGACATTCCAGTGACAATCGACATTCTTTGTTCCGTTGGGACTGTAGCTTGTGCTCGTTTTCGTTGCGCTTGCCTTCCCCTCTTTGGTCTTTCCATAACCTTGAACCTTCCAAGTTGGAAGGCTGTCGGTTAGCGCTACGGAGATGACTGTGTTGAAGCTAGGTGTCAGGACGTCGAATGTCTCAGTACTCCGTCAGTTTTGTGCCTAGTTGTTGCACTTTCTGACTGTAAATAAATATTCTTTTATTCCACGATGGCGTGACGCCAATAAGGATGATTAATAAGTGCGATAGAACTGGTACTAGCCAGAAACAGCTAGATGGAAATTAACCGGGAGGCAAGAAGCAATGGATCATGAAAAACAAGCGGGGGCAATAATGTTAGCAGGGGTGATCGATATTATAGTTAAGTACACGTTCGAGATATCAGAAACCAGGGGGATGCGTGGAGCAGGAGCAGGTACTGCTCAAAAGAAGACTGGCTGCATTGTTTCGGAAAGAATTTCTACGAGGTTGGGTTGTGATGTCGATAGGGAGTGAGTTGTAGAGGGTGAGGGCACTGTTGATGGGGGAGTCTCGGTGCCTGTTCGTGTGTGCGTGTCCGATGGAGTAGGTCCTTGTCTGTCGAAGGGTGTATGGTTGGTGTTGACGTTGTGGTGCAAGATGTGGTTGTTGCAGGTGTGGTGGGGAGGTTTGGTGGTGGATGTCCCATGCTAGTAGGGCTTGTTTAACAAGGAGTCGTGAGCTAAGGGTGGGGAGCTTTGCGTGATGGAGGAGGGAGCTGTGGTGAACTGGTGCAAAGAGGGGAATCCGAAGGCAGATGCGTATAGCACGGCGTTGAATTCTCTCCAGTGTGTCCCGCTGTTGCTGTGTGGTGTTCGAGAGGGCAAGGCTGCCATATTCGAGAACGGGTCGGATGTAGGTTGTGTATATTAACAATAGGCTGGAAGCGTTCATTGTGCCACGTGTCTTGTGGAGTTGGTGTAGTAGTTTTTTGGCTTTGTTGGTGGTTTCTATGATGTGTTGGGTCCATCGCAAATCGTCTTGGAGTGTAACACCAAGGTGCCTATGTTGGTGGACCTGCTGCAGCCGAGTCGAGTGGAGCGTGATGTGGATGGTGTGTTGGGGTTGGAAGGAAAGGACGACGGTTTTCGTGGTGTTGACGAGGAGATGCCAATCCTTCAACCATCGTCCTGCTGCGTCCACGGCACGTTGGAGGAATGCAGCTGACAAATCCCTCGTGTAATGCGTCGCGATGAGTGCCGTGTCATCGGCGAACTGGCTGCATTTAGTGTGAGAGTTTGTACATGCTGGGGGGAGGTCGATCGTGTACACCAGGAAAAGAAGAGGCCCCAGGACAGAGCCCTGGGGTACTCCAGCTGGAATGGATTTCCATGATGACAAAGCGGAGCCAACCTTGACGCGTTGTCGGCGGCGAGTCAGGTAGCTTGTGAGCCAGGTAAGGGCAATGCCACGGACACCAAGGTGCTCGAGTTTGGCCAGGAGGCCAGCATGCCAGACTCGGTCAAAAGCCTTTGATAAGTCAAAGAAGCATGCTGACACTGCCTGACCGGAATCTCGGCTGGCGGAAATCTCATGCACTAGGCGGGAGAGCTGTAGTTCAGTACTATCCTTAGATCGAAATCCAGATTGGTCGGCCGGTGGGTGGGGCTCAATGTGGGTGTAGAGGCGTTGGTGAACAATCCTCTCCTGAACCTTGCTGACAACGCTTAGGAGCGAGATTGGTCTATAATTGGTGACCTCTGCACGAGAGGCTTTCTTGTGTAGAGGACTGATAGTGGCGTCGCGCCAGTCCTGTGGCTGCTCGCCTCGCGAGAAAGACTCGTTGAAAAGTGTTGCGAGGGAGCACGATATTTCGTCTGCAGTGATCTTGAGCAATTTCGTCGGGATGCCATCGTACCCAGCCGACTTCCGGAAATCAAGAGCGGAAAGGAGTTTTCTGACCTCCTCCTGGGTGGTGATGATTTCCTTCAGTTCGCTTCCGATGATGCGCGACACGCCAATCTCTGGCACGGCTTCAGTTGGTCCGGAGACGGACTTCTGGCTTTCCGAAATGAAAAAATTGTTAAACGCTTCCGCCTTTTCTCCATCTGATCTAGCCACTGTTTCGTTCGCTGAAATAGGTGGAAGCTCCTTTTTCGGGGACGACCGCAGTGATTTCATTAACTTGTACAGGTTTCGCTGTGGGACACCAGTTACGTCGCCTTGCGCGGTAGTGGATACGAAGGCGGATTTAGCTTCTCTCTGTAGTGTTGTGGTCCTATTGCGTTGAGTAACGAATGTGAGCCAGTTCTCCGCGCTGCGAGTTCTGAGATACTGACGGTAGAGCTGATGCTTGAGTTTAATGCTGCAAAGAAGCTGTTGAGTCATCCATGGTCGCCGACCTGGGCATGTCTGGTGTGTACGTCGTGGTGCGAAGTTAGTACAGTACAAGTGTGCTGTGTTGATAAGCGAGTCATGCCAATGCGACCAGAGGTCTGTCATTGATAACTGCGGGATTTCCTCAGCTGGTGGCAAAAGCTGCATTGAGCTCAGGGCTTCTTTCAGTGCGACGACGCGATCAGGGTCCCAGTTCCAGCGCCAAGCTTCGACGTTTTGCTGGGGTGTTGGTGCTTGTGGTGGGCATGCAAGGGACACATGTCCTCCGACGAGTACATGATCTGACGCTCCGACAGGGGGATACGATGTGACAGATAGGTCTTCTTCTGGTACGTTGGAGATGACAACGTCGAGGCAGGACTTCAAGTTGCCTCTGGAAATACAGGTCGGAAAAGACACGTGCTGGTTTAATCCTGCAGTGTCTAGTAGGTAGCTCAGCAGGTCGCCAGCTCTATCAGTGATATCAGTGCCATGAGGTGTGCTTTGCGTTCATATCTCCTACCAATAGAAACGGAGAGTTCATGTTGCAGAGACCTAGACAGGGCTCCAGTTGTTGGCAGAATGTGTACGGATCTGTGTTTGGAGGACGGTAGAAGCATCCGACTGTAAGTGATACATTCGGTAGGTCAAGTTCGAGCCAGAGTGATTCGAAGTTGCTCATCGTGATGTTTGTTTTGTGTTTGTGTGGGATGGATGAGTGAACATACACGGCGACTCCTCCGCCTCTACAGTGCTGCCGATCATGCCTATAAAGGGAGTAGTCGGGGAGTTCGTAAAGAGAGTCTGGCTCTAGGGGGTTTGCCCAAGTTTCACATATGGCGATAAGACTGGGTCTCTTTTCTATGGCTACCTGCGCAATCTCGTCCATTTTGTTGAACAAGCTGCGAGCGTTGAAGGTCAGGAAATTGAACTTGCTTGTCCCGCAGAAAGAGCGATCGTATGAAATATGATCTGATTGCGTAGCATTGCGGGGGAGAAAAGATTGTGCGTGAGGATTAAGCATGAGTATTGCAAGAAATGAAAGGACTA